CCTCAGGCTTTTCAACTTGCTCCTCTTTTCTGGTCTCCATTTCTCTGAACACAGAGAAGTGGTGCCGGCCCCCTTTCCTGTCCTCTGCTCTTGTCTCCCCTCCCTTTCTCTCCTCCGCTGTTTCCTGTAGCCTCACGAACAGCCTGTTATCAATGAAGATATCTTCATATCCCTAAAAAAAAAGTAAGCTCCCATATGCTTCAAAACCAACCATCTAACAGCAGATGGCTTCTCTCCTGTTTAAGGGCTCTTGGTAGCTCCCCACTACTCACGCTATCAACCTTCAGCCACTCAAACTTGCCTTTGAGACCCTCTAGGTCCATTCGGGCACCTCTCCAACCTCTTCACCTCTCACACCCCGAGTCCAGAGAAAGCCACCTGTGTGGCTACACCCTCTGGTTTCTAAGTCAGGAACACTACGCCCTCTCCTGCACCTGTTGAAATCCTACCTCTCCCTGAAGTTCCAGCTCAAATGTCACATCCTTCACATAATCTTCCTTGGCCTCTCTTCTGTTACCTCCAAAGCAGTAAACATTTAATTATTTGTCTTGCCTTCTTCACTTTGAAATGCCACCTCTTCCCACCCTCTTGGGGCAGGGCAAGGGCCGGGCCAAATGAGAAAGCATTATTGAAATAAAGAAAAATCCTGGCTAAGTTTATTACCTGTTAAGGTAAGTGGAACCTTTTACATGTGTTTTAAAATTTCCTTCTTCAAGTTTTGAGCACATCTGCTTCTTGCATTTTTTTTTTTTAAATTTTGGAAAGATGGGTCCACTGATATTTGCCAAACTCAAGTTGAGAGATCTTTAGTTTCTTCCTCCATCTCTGTCTGAACCAGACAGTAAGGTTTCTGGTTCTGAAATTTCAGCCATCCAATCACCTGTCACTATCTTACCCCTATAAACATTACCTTCTCTTAAGTAATAGTTTTATTTCAGTGCTCTTCCTTTCAAGTTTTATATATATTTAAAACAACATTTCTACTTTTATTACTTATATGCATTGGTTGATTCATTGGATGTATAGTCCAAATATATATTTTTTCTTCTATGTGTCAAAACTGGTGTCTCATTTAACATAACTACCTAAACTAGAAAATGTTCCTACACGTGCCATCTAAAATTACTGGACTTAATAGGTAAGGATCTTTGTATCTGACTTTGGAACTAATCAAGGCATTTTCTGAAGGTTCAGACTTGTGAAAATTCCATCCATCCATCCATCTATCCATCCTCTTTGCCATTATGTATATTGGTGTATTGAAATATAATAGACACAGACTGTATGTATGTATATATTTATTTTTAAAGATTTCTTTATTTATGCATATAGAACTGGAGTACAGGCCAGAGGTACAGGGGTAGTAAGAGGATTCACCAGAGACAGATGGGGAACAGAACAGGCAGATCAATGAAGTATACTGGGAGCTGCTGGTGAGACAGATGAGGTCTGCTGTACCATGTGGTCCCCTCAGGGGCTTGGGGATCAAACTTTCACTGAAGTTAACTTCGCTTTAACCCACTGCACCACCAGGGAGGGCCCAGACTACCCACTGCACCACCAGGAAGGGTCCAGACTGTAGGTATTTAAAGTGAACAATGTGATTGAACATTTGTTCTTTATTCAATTTTCAGCCAGGGCTCTGACACCCAATCACAAACAGTAGCATCACCTTCATGCCATTATAAGCCTCTGTGTTATAGCCCTCCATTGGTGGAAATGTCTGCCTTTGTTTCTCCATTTAAATCTCAGTTCCATGAGACAGGAACTGCATCTGATTTTACTCTCTGTTGTATTTTAATCATCAAGGACAATAGTTGGAGCAACAGCTCTGCTATTGTATGGATTTATGCTGATGCCAGAGTCCCACCCTTGTGGAGCCCCCAGTCTTAGAGAACAAGGGAGACAACCAGTTAGCAGCAGGACTTGTCTGACTGGAGAGTCCATATGGACTGGACTGGAAAATCGCTGCTTACTCTGAGGTAGGGCACACAGAGCATGGAGTTAGCAATCAGGATTTTCTGGTAAGGGAGAAGACTGGAAGATTCACGTACTTACCCAGCATTTCCTTTGTATTAGAATATAGAAGTGCTCCCTACACCATTAAGCAGGGTTTTGCAGCCTTGGCATTGTTGGTATGTGGGGCTGGGTTGTTTTCTGTGGAGAGGGGTTGTCCTGTACAGTGCTTACCCTGAGCATTCTAGGATGTTTAGCACATCCTTTGTTTCTACCCACTATATGCCAAAAGCAAACCACTCCCAGATCTAATGACCAGACATGTCGCCAGTCATTGCCAACTGTCCTCTGGGAGGTGGATTGCTTGGATGAGACCTGCTGTATTTGAAAAATACTGGGTTGTTTCACTTATAGGAGGAATATAGGGGGGCAAGGAAAATATCATATAAACAACAAAAAACCCACAACAAAATAAAACAAAAATAAACAGACAACTATAAATCAGAGACATTCTGCAGCAGAAGGGGAGGGAAAGAGATCAAAATGAGGGTGGGGAGAGCTCAAGGGACTACGGTGGTGGTGTGACAGGGTGGTCCCTAGGAAAAAGGGAAGTTCCAGGTTCCCTGCCCCACCAAGGGGCAGGAGGGTGGAGCTGAGCAAAGAAAAAGGAGAAGAGAGAAGAAGAGAAGGAAGCTGGATGGAGAGCCAGAAGGAGACCTGAGGAAGCCGAGAAAAAGGAGAAGAGAGAAGAAGAGAAGGAAGCTGGATGGAGAGCCAGAAGGAGACCTGAGGAAGCCACATGGAGCAGAAAGCATGTGATGAAGAAACCGGGCTTGTTTCCTGACCCTGGACTAGTTAAGGCAGATGTGGGTGACTATGTATGGCAGTGTTTACATTGATTTTGATTTTGCTCTTTTGCTCTCAGATTTGTCTGGCCATTTCTGACCCTTTTCCATGGGTCCCAGCCAGAAGGTGCTTTAGTCTTATGGCGGGCTTTCAGGCCTTGCTTTGGGCCAATCCCTTTTGGGTTCACTTTTGCCCACGAGGGGAGGGATAACTTCAGGTGTTTGATTTAGAAGTTATATTCTTTGTGTTCCGTATTGTATATTCACTGTATTAAAGTCACTTTTCATTAAAGCTTTATATGTTTTGTCTTGTTGTGGCGGATGGCAGAACCCACTTAGAGCAGGCAGGTTTTGGGGCTTCAGAGGTGTCCCTCTCCCCCTGTCCTCTAACAGAATTGGGGTGCCCTCTAACAGAGGTGCACAGGTGAATTGGTGGTGGAAACTATGGGGACTACAGAAAAGAACGCAGACATTGTAAGAAAAAAATAACTATTACATTCTGAGATGAGTGCATGTTGCATAATGGGTGGACTTCAGAGTGCATGCTCTGACCATTGTGCTACATGGCTTTGCCTTTGGCCTTGGTTACTGGCTCTGGGGCCTGTAAATCAGAACACTTTGGAATGATCATCCTGGAACAAGGGTAGGGGGAGTTGAACTCTCTACCTTTTATTTAAAGATTTATTTATTTATGCAAACGGAACTGGGGTACAGGCCAGACAGAGGTGCGGGGGTGGGGGGGGTGAGAGGATTCACCAGAGACAGAGTGGGGAGCAGAACAGGCAAATGGACAAAGTACACTGCTGAGGGGAGCAGCGGGCGGGTCAGAAGAGGTCTGCCGCGCCATGTGGGTCACCTCTGGGGCAGGCAGGGATCAAACTCATGCGGAAGTGGCTTTAGCTTCTTAGTGCTGTGCTTTATCCCGCTGCGCCACCAGGGAGGGCCTGAACTCTCTGCCCTTTTTGTTTATGGTTTACTGTGGTTTTAACTTTGGAACTTATGGGAAATAGCATATTGTTTTATAATAGTTTCAGCTTTCTCAGTGTCTAACTTAGCCCCTGCCTGAAACCTGAACCCAGATAGCCAGGTGTCTTCTTGGGCCTGCAGCCTTACCTCAGTTTCCTCAGGCCTGCAATAATGTTGGAGGTTTGCTTTTTCTAGTTTCTGATGCCATTTTTCCTCTCTGACACTTTCCTCCTGGATGTCTGGTATGTGTAAGGCCATTTGTTCTGTTCCGGGGAGATGGTGTCCCCACCATCTCTCACTGCTAGGGCTAGCTGTGAGTACTTCAATTTTTCTGCCCAGGTCAGCCGCCCACCTACCTACCAACCCAGGAATGGTAGCTGACATCCTAGGGGGTGGGGCTGACCCTGTCTCAACACATCTGGAGCAGATGAGCTGGCCAAAGACAACATCCTAGGAGGAAGGCCAAGTGGTGGGCAGCCAGTGCATGGTCTGTGCTGCTCGTTGAGTCTGGAGGTCTCCCTGGAAGAGGGAGAGAGAGGTTGCTAATGACTACAGAGTCTCAAATAAGTGATTTGGACCCAGGACCCAGAGGAAGCAGATGGGCTGGGTTCCAAGGGCTGGTGGATCTGAGGATTCCTGGGGGTCCTAGAGGACGCTCCCAGTGGTGGGGTGGTGGGGGTACATGGGACGCCAGGGGGTTAGGGACCCCTTGTCTCAGCTTAGAACAGACCCTGAGGTGTGGGACATAGGGAGTACTGGTGTGGGAGAAGAGTATTTAGGAATGGCTCAGCAGGGAATCTCAGTGCTAATGGGGGCCAGGAAGGAATTAGGGGGCAGGGAGTCCAAAGGTTTGGAGCTTTTGGAGGTTCGTGTCTTTTTGTCTCTCCATGTCTTTAGCTCTCCCCTTCTGTCCTTTCCTTTCGGTCTCCACCTGCCACTCTCTCCAACTCAGACTCAGTCTTTCCCTTTCCGTCTCTAAGCTTCCGTGTCTCTAGTTCTCACCATCTCAGGGGGCCGCGCCTCGGTACCGCCCAGAGGCTGAAAAGACCGCGGGGGGCGGGCAGGGCAGGATGAGGGGGGGGGAAGGGCGGGCCCAGGGCGGCACGCGGCGCGGCCGGGCGGGGTTAAAGGGCCGGGCAGCCGGATGGGCCCATTCAGAGCTGAGGTTGCGGCGTGGGTGCATCCGGATCAAGGACCTGAAGTGGAGACCCGCGGGGTGAGTGTGAGCCGAGGGGCGGTGACAGAAGCGCCGTCGCGGGCTGCGCTGTAACCCTAGGAGCGTTGGTTCCTGTGCGGGCGGTGCTGATGGTGGAGGTCTGTATCCCGAGGCCCTGGATTCTCAGGACCGAGGACGGGGCTGCGTGCTTTAGACTCTTGGGGGCAGGGGAGGGGTGTGTGTCCCTGACGGTGGCTACCTTATGCACGGTTTTTAATGTATGCACGTCGGGTCCTCGGTGTATCCTTTCTGGTTGTCCTCGGTGAGAAGTGGCCTCGAGAAGAGCTGCCCCTTGTCAGCAGGACGTCTCACATGGATCCTTCCCACACCCCCATGGGGTAACTGGGGTTTTCATCACTCCATATTGCCGATGTGGTGATGTCCACTTGTTACACTTGTGGTAAAGTCCAGCCTCCATCTTCCCAGGACCCGCCCTGGATTTTCAAGTGCATCTCTCTGTGGAAAGAGGATGCTCTCCGGAGCCCCAGAGTTGGCTGTTAGGGCTATTGAAGGTCTTATACAATTGGTCTTGGCAGATATTTGTTGGATGCTCTAGATGATGCTTCCTGGCCCTCAGTAGGGCTTATCAGCTGGGGTGTCTTAAGTTGGAAGTTGGAAGGAGACAGGGAGGCAGTGGAAAGTTGGGATTTGAAGAAACCAACTCTGTCTGACCCCAACATCCTGGCACTTTCTTGTGGCCTGGGCCTCTCTGTAGAGCCCAGCTTAGGTTTCTGAATTGTAACATTAACTCTGCGCTGGTATCGGGTGGTGACCGCAGTTGGTATCTGCAGAGGGGATGGATGATGTGGGAGACATTCAGAGAATGGGAACCCATTTCTTCTCCCTGGCAAGTCTTGGGTTGAATTCTCCAAATCCTAGGTGGCTGGGTAGGGTAACTACCCAGCCAACTACAACACTTTGAGGTACCTTTGATTAAGGGCTTACTATGTGCCAAACCCTGAGCAAAGCTCATTAGAAATGCTTTGTGTTCATCACAATCCTGTGAGGTGGGTCTATGGTCCCTACCTAGCCAATGAGGACCTTGAGGCTCAGTGAGGTGTAGACATTCACCTGCTGTTACACAACTAAGAAGCAGAGCCTTCCGGGATGCTTTCTGAGGGTCATGTCTAATCATGGACATGCTTGCTTGAGATGGTGGGCAGGAAGGATTGCATTTCTAAAATGATCTAGATTACTGGTGGTTTTAAAAACTTTATTTCCTGTGAGGATCTCCTTTTGACTTGAGGCTGCAGGTAAAAGCTTATAATATGTACCAAACTGCAGTGGTACTTCCCATTCCTTGCTCTGATCTCCCAGAAATGTTTCTGATGTTCTTTCCCCAAACCCCAGAAATCTGGGGCAAGCCCCCCCATCTTACCTCAAACCCTCTGGTGCCTGGCACTTTGGAAGAACTTGAGTCTGGTGTGGGACAGTCTTGTGGCTTTCAAGGGAACAAGAGAAAGCCATGAGCCAGGAGAGGGGCTTGGAAGAAAGAGGGAGTAGGGAGCAGAGCTGGGGTGTGGGGTAGTAGGGCCAGTATGGGGTGACTGGATGTCAGGCTCCCAGCAGGCCCCACCAGACATAATTTCCAAGGAGCCAGGGTCCAAGTCCTGTATTTGTTTCTTAGGAGCCCACATACCTTGTATGACAGGTCTCTGGCTGGTGGCCGGGCTAACCTGACAAACCAGAGCTCCCTGGGCGTGGGCCGGGCCAAGGAGCCAGTCACTGGCACCTCCATTTCCAGATAATGCAGTCCCCAGTTGGATGGGTGGGGCCACCTCTGCCAGGGCGGGGCTGCTGGGTGCCATACCTGGCATTTGGATGAAACTGGGGCCAGTGCAGACAGGAGTGGGCGTGCCGGCCTCCCACAGTGTCCTGTGAGTGTCAGCTTTGAGTTTTCCTTGCTGCTGTAAAATAGCAATAGGGACAGGAATATGATAGTCCCCTCTATTTGCAGTTCCCCTTTTCAAAGTTTCAGCTACTCTCTATTCAAATGTGGTCTGAAAATGTTCTGTACAATAAGATGCTGGGAGTGGGGAGAGAGAGAACATTCACCAAACTATTATTAGAGTATAATTGTTCTATTTTGTTATTGTTAATTCCTACTCTGCCTAATTTATTAATTAAACTTCATCATAGGTGTGTGTGTATAGAAAATGTAGCCTCTATAAGGTTTGAGACTATCTATGATTTCAGTTATCCTCTGGGGATCTTGGGACATCTCCCCTTGGGGGAACTGCTGTAATGGCTGATTTTGCATTCTTTGTGCTAAGTCTAACCTCACTGAAGTTTCTCAAACAACCTTAGGTGGGGCTGCTGGGTGCCATACCTGGCTGCTATTATTTACCCATTTAATTTTAGTTTTAAAATTTTAAGTTGAATATAATATACATATGGGAAATGTACCTTCCAGAACGGCACAGCTTAAATTTTTTACAAATTAAACATACACGCACCACCAGGTCCCAGATCGAGAAAGGGACCTGTACCCCAGAAAATGCAGGCCCCTTACCCACTGAAATGTCTTAATTCATTTTTCATTAATTTCAATTTTAGACTTTATTTTTAGGTCAGTTTTAAGTTTACAGAAAAAAATGTGCAGGAAATATGGAGTTGTGTACACCCTTCCCCCTCCCCACTCCCCACAAAGCTTCCTATTAACAGTCTGCATTAGTGTGGTCCTTTTGCTACAACTGATGAGGCAGGATTGATACATTATTATTAACATTCACAGTTTGTATTCCAGTTCACACCTCCTGTGGTAAAGTCAACTAATTAATTTTTATAGTTAATTAAAATGTTTTTGAATGGCAAGATGTGTTCACAGTTTAGAAAAGAAGATGTCCCCAATGGGGGAGAGTGAAAATTAAGTCTCACTTCCTCCTCTGGCCCTGGTTCTTATGGGCCCATCTGGTGGCATTTTAAACAATGGAGACAAACTTCATCAACTATAAAACAACTACTTAAAGGTAAACAATTGCATTTAGGGTATTCATATGGTGCAACCATCACCTCTATCTAGTTCCAGAACACTTTCATTACCCGCTAAAAGAGACCCTGTCCCCATGAGCCATCACACCCAGCTCATTCCCACAGATCCTCATAGCCATTCATTTGCTTTCTCTCTGTGGCTTTGTCTGTTCTGGATGTTTCCCGTAAGTGGAATCACACACTCTGTGGCCTTCTGTATCTGGCTTCTCTCACTCAGAGTCATGTTTTCAAGGTTCATCCATGTTGTAACATAAATGGGCACTTTATTCCATTTCATGACTGAATAGTATTCCATGGTGTGAATGGATTACATTATATTTGCCCATGCGTCAGTTCATGGAGATTTGGTCTGCTTCCACCTTTTGGATTTTGTAAAGTGCTGCTATGAATATTTATACACAAATATCTCTTTGAACTGCTTGTTCTACCCTTAGATATATAGCTGGGAGAGGAATTACTGGGTCATGTGGTAATTCTATCTTTAACTTTCTGAGGAGTGATCAAGCTCTTTCCCACTGTGGCTGCCCTACCTCAGAGCTTTTTTCAAGGGCATTGAATGGGATTGCTGTTGTTTGGGGTCAGGAGGAGCCTGCTGTAGAGTGTGGACAGCTTCTCCCAGGCACTTGTTATTGAGATTCCTCTCTTGAGTGTCAACTGGACCTCTTGCTGCTATTTTGTCACTGGGAAAGCTGTGACAGTCAGGCTGCAGCCTGGGGGAAAGAGGTGACCACGTGGCCCCTTCTTGGCTGGCTGTGATGACTTCCCTTTCATCCTTGGTAATCCTGAAAAGGTCACACTGGGGTGGAACCAGAGATTATCTTTTACAGACACCCCACCTTCAGACAGGGAAATGGAGGCCCAGATCACACAGTCATTTGGTGGAGGAGTTAGGATTAGAATACAGTTCCTTATGGTGTGTGTGTTTAATAAGCCCCCTTTATATAGGTTTTTCACTCACACCTCTTCCCAGAGAGACCCTCTTAGACCACTTCTTCTAAAAGAATTCTCTCTTACTCCGTGTATTGATATCCTTAGCTGCTTTATTAAATGCACCAGTACATTTAAAACAAAACCTATGCATTGTCTTACAGTTCTGGAGAACAGAAGTCTGAAATCCTAGTGCTGGTAGGATAGTACTTTCTCTTAAGGTTGTAGGAGAGAATCCTTCCCATTCTTCTAGCTTCTGGGGGTTCTAGGTGTTTCTTTGTTTGAAATCACCCATTCTCTGCCTACAGCTTTATATGGCTTTTCCCTCTTTTATGCATCAAATCTCCATCTCCATTTCACATATAAACATACTTGTGATTCTTGTTAGGACTCATCTGAATAATCCAGGATAATCTCTTCATCTCAAAGTCCTTAATCCCATCTACAAAGACTTTGTCATATAAGTCACAGTACCAAATTCTAGAGAGTCGGAGCTCATTTTATTTGTTTTTCAGGGAAGGGGAGGATGTTCAGCTTCTTCCCCAACCCTGTTTTACCACCTTTATGACATGTAGCCACTGTATGGGGTTCCATCATTGTACTGCTGTCGCCTTCCATGATGGCCTGGATAGACCAAATTAGTCCTGTTTGACATTACCTCTTCAGCATCTACAACAGAGTCACTTGCATAATCAGGACTCAAAGAATATTTGCCAACCGGATGCTGAAGAAATGCACTTAGAGCCTTTGGCAAAGGTCAGGCCTGTGGAGGGTCACAGTTATTAGTGATAATCACAAGCTGGGTTCCCCAACGTTGCTGGTGAATTGTTACCTATTGTTAAACTAGTAAAGAAATAGATCCCTACAGCTACTTTCTGTGGAGTACCTACACCAGGTAGTCTGTATTTTCAAGAAGATTTTTAGTTGTGGTAAAATACACATAAATGTCATTTGATATCTTTTTAAATTGTTGTATAGAAGAACTGGGGTATAGGCCAGAGGTGCGGGGGTGGGAAGATTCACCAGAGACAGAGTGGGGAGCAGAACAGGCAGATCCCCTCACTGCTGAGGGGAACAATGGGTGAGGTAGGAGAGGTCTGCCACGCCATGTGGGTCACCTTCCTGGCCAGGATCCAACTTGTACTGCAGTGGCTGTGGATAGCTTCGCCGCACTGCACTTTAACCCTTTGTACCACCAGGGAGCCTCCAAAATATTATTTATCTTACTTACACCATTTGCAGAAAACATGGATGGAGCTGGAAGGGATAAGTCAGAATGGGGGTGGGGGGGGAAGAAGGATGGTGGCAGGTGCCAGGGGCTGGGGAGGGGAGAGGAAATTGAGTTTAAAAGGGACAGTATGTCAGCTGGAGAAGATGAGAAAGTTTGGGAGTGGTCAGTAGTGGTGATCATGGATATATTTTTGGCGACAGAGCTGCAATTTCATTTGAAATGGTTAAGATAACAAATGAGGTTCTCCCTGGTGGCCTAGTGGTTCAATCTTAGTGCTATCACCAATACAGCCTGAGTTCTAACCCCAGTCAGGGAGCTAACCCACATGGCACAGCAGACCTCCTCTAGGGGCCGGACATAAATAGAATTTTACAGTCTTAGTCTTTGTGTGCCTAATTTCCTTTACTTAACATAATGCCATCCAGCTTCATCCATGTTATAGCCTATATCAGAATTTCCTTCCTTTTAAGATCTTAATAATATTCCATTGATGGGCAGGCCTCATTTTTAAATTTCTTCCATCAGTTAATGGATACTTGGATTGCTTATACCTCTTGATAGTCATCAAGATTGTGATTATTGATGCTGTGAGCATCGGTGTACAAGTATATGTTTGAGTCTCCACTTTCACTTCTTTTGAGTATACCCAGAGATGGGATTGCTGGATCATGTATTAGTCTACATTTAGTTTTTGAGGAACCATCTTACTGTTTTCCACACATGGCTACACCAGAGTACAGTCCCACCAGCAATACAGAAATGTTCTAGTTTCTGTACATCTCTACCAAAACCTATTTTCCTTCCTTCCTTCCACTCTTTCTTTCCTTCCTCCATCCCTCCCTTCTTTTGTTACATCTTCCCTCCCTCTCTCTTTCCTTTCTTTCATTTTTAATAATAGCTAACCCAAAGGGGTTGGGATTCTCTAGGAACTGAAGGATTTGAGGGCAAATATTTTATTTGGGAAGTGATCACAGAAAAGACCAGTAAGGAAGTAAAACCCAAAGGATAGAAAACAGACTCAAACATACACATGTACATTCATGTTCATAATGACATGTTTCACTGGAGGTGGATACAACCTAAATATTCAACAGTGAAGTATCACTCAGGTATGAAAGCCCTGACACATGCTCCAAGGTGGGTGAGCCTGAAAATGACGCTGAGTGAGAGGCCAGGCAGAAAAGGCCACACCTGTGATCCAGGGACAGGGACTGTCCAGAAGAGGCAGATCCGGAAAGTAGGTGGATCGGGGCCATGGGGGTGGGGGCAGGAGTCATGAGTGCTCTAGAGACAGGCTTCCTTTTGGAGTGATAAAATTTAGAATTAGAGGTGATGGTTGTAAAACACTTTGAATGTCCTAAATGTCATTGCTTTGTTCATTTTAAAATGGCTCGCTTTGTGCTGTTGGAGCTCACTTTGTTGTTGTAAATGTTGTTTGTAATTATGCCAATGGAAAGGGTTTGTCCAATATTCACCGTAAATAGGGTGATAAAAAGTAAAAGTGGGGAGTGTAGCCAGGACTGAGGCCAAGGACTGTACCTGAGAGCCCCCAGGGGGTTGCTGGCAAATACAAATGGCCTCTGGGAATAGACTAAGATGGTTTGGGATTTTGAGGAGGGGCTTCTTTGGAGAGGGAAATAGAAATGACTGCAGAAAGGAGAAGGAAGAAGGATGTTTGTCTGGACTCCAAGATTCAAGGTTTGGATTTCTTCAGCATTTGGGGGCCAAGGGATTTCAGCCCCAGACTGGGACAAGTCTGCTGTGGACGCCTGGAGGTGGCGGCCTTCAGTAGCCAACCTTGGAGAGGAAGAGGCTTTGCAAGTAGCTGAGCTACTGAAACGGTTCCTGGATTTTGCTGTGGTTACAGCCTGGCTTAGCTGCATGAGTGAGGCCATTTGTCAGGTCATTGGGTCACTGTGACTCGATCTCACTTTAATTGAAAAAAGAAGGGGGAAAGTAAGATGGGAAAGAGAGGCAACTGAGAGAGAATCTTTGTTACTGTGAGTAGCTGGAGACTAATCCTTCTGGGGAATTCTGGGAGTGTGTGTGGAGCCACACCCCAAGGTCCCTGCACTTGAGGCAAGGGACCTGGGGGCCCTTACCCAGTAATGCTCACCAGTTGGTTGACAACTGCTTTTAGGGAGGGAGAGTGTCTTAATTTTCCAGCATTCTGGTCAGCATGTACAGGCAGGAAATTGGGAGGAATGCCCTGAAAGTTAAGGCTGTGAATGTCACTGGTCACCTGGCCGGAAGCCACAATTGGGGGATAAAGAGGTATCTTGGCATCTGGGACTCATGAGTGCCTAGGTGCCAGGCACATTACTCCACAGATCATCGTACATGATGCATGACTGGGGGGCATGGCTGGAGGGTGGCTCCCTCCTGCACTGACCCATCCCACGTGTCCCCCTAGGATGCTGCCGGTCACAGAACACCTGCTGCACATCCTCGGGCTGGAGAAGACTGCCTTCCGCCTCTATGCCGTGTCCGCACTTCTCCTGTCCCTGCTCTTCTTCCTCTTCCGCCTGCTGCTGCGGTTCCTGAGGCTCTGCCAGCGCTTCTACATCACCTGCCACCAGCTGCGCTGCTTCCCCCAGCCGCCTCGGCGCAACTGGCTGCTGGGCCACCTGGGCATGGTGTGTGAGGGTGGGCAGAGGGCTGCGGGGGTCAGGGCTGGTATGTACCAGGTGTTTGGTAAGGATGACAGATCTGCTGGTTTCCCTTATCCCCCACGCCACTACGAATCTGCTGGAACCATGAACAGACGCTTGAGGATCAAAAAGGGCAAGCAGCGTTCCCAAGGTCCCACAGCTAGGATGAAAGAAAGAGCTGACTCTCCAGTTTTCTCTGTAATTTCAAGCTACTGCTGTACCACTCATATATGTGACATACCCTGTGTGATAAGACATATCCAGAAAACAGGTACCAATGCGTGCCAAGTTTATTGGGTTTTGGGATCCCAGTGGAGGGAGAGAGTCTTTCTTGAAGACTTGTCTCCCTATCTTCATCCCTAGTGTGTTTCTACACACTCTTTCATTCTCTCTAATGCCGTACTCCCAGGTCAGGGCCTTAACCCTCTTTACATTTCATTTATTCTTTCGTGTATGTGAGTCAAGTAATATTTCAGGTACTATGTACATATGAACGCATTCCGTTCTCTTGACAACCATAGGAGGTAGGCCCCAATTTGCACCTGAGAACTGTGCAGCATAGGAAGGTTAAGTAGATGGCTTAGGTTACACAGCTCCCAAGTGGCACTATTGTGGTTCAAATTCAGGTCATCTCACTCTAGCATCCTTGCTCTTAGCAATTTCTCCTCTGCTGTCTCTAGTTTCTAGATGAGAAAGGTTAGGCCCTCAGAAGTCAGAAAGAGAGAAAGCCAGATTCCTGAGCGTGCTGAGACTCTCTGGGGCCCATACTCTCACTTGCCTGATGGAGTCAAATTGTCTCCCTTGCAGCGGTTGAGATTATCAGTGTGGACTTGACACCCACCCTTATCATCTGTGTGACCTTAAGAGATCTGCTTTATTCCCCCATGCCTCAGTTTCCTTATCTGTAATTCAGGAACCTCATGGGATTGTTTTGATGATTTCTGAAATCTTGCTGTAATGTGCCTGGCACCCACCATGCAGTGGTGGATGTGTGTGCTCAATAACTGGTTCTGCAGATCGGAATTACAAGTCATTCTAGAAATGTGTCCGACACTACTTGAGGTGAGTGTCTTGGAAGAATGAGCCTGGAGATACCTTTCTGCTCAGTCATTCAAAGAACATGATTGTGAATTTGGGAACTACCCTCGCAGGGCCAGCTCTGATCAAGTATGGGCTGTTTGTGCCTAAGCTTCCCCTCTCCTATCCCCCACTCCTGCCCAGGCCTCGTCCTCCCCTGGTGGATCACAGTCCAGCTTCTTCCCTGGGCTCCTGCTTTCACTTTCACCCCACCAGTCTGTCCCCTGTCCTGGTCCCAGAAGAATTCTTGAATTCAGCCATTTCCCTCCCCGCCCCCACCTCCACCTCCCCTCCAACTCATACACCCTCCATGAGTCTCCACTGTGGTCTGGAAAAAGTCCCAGTGCCTTAGCTGGGGTTCAAGGCTTTTTAGACTCTGACCTCACACTGCTCACGTCTTCCATAGGATGATTCCTGCTCCTTTAGCAAGGCTCTGTCTCCCCACCTCAGTGACCTTTGCTAAAACTGTTCTTATCTAAGTGTCCCAAATTATACACACTTCTGCTCATTGTTCATGTCCTAGCTCTAGTGCTCTGGTGTCAGGAAACTGTGGCTTGGATAGTGGTCTTGAAGAGACCAGGCTCTGGTGCCCTGGGCAGTAAGGGCCAGATCTGAAACCCAGCAAGACCCCTCATGGGCCCATGAGACCTGGAAAGGCCATGATCTCCCTTGGGTGTGGGCAGGCTCAGAGCTAAGCCTGACTGAAAAAGACTCAGGAGCCAGAGAGGATTCATTTTTGTTTGTTCACTACTGATTCCTTTGACCGGGGGACCTCACAGTGATCGGGTGCTGGGTTAGGCCCCTTCATGTCTGAGCTCTCCCCTGATGCTTACAGCCTATGAAGTAGGGAAAGATCTGCCCTATATTATAGATTTTACCTTTGAGGTTCAGAGAAGGTGAATTTAAGCTTAGCTTCTTTTGACATTAAACCTGAAGTGCTTCTGCCTTATGTTGGCTAAGAGCAGGTGCTATTTATTTATTTATTTATTGAAGTAACATTGCATTATCACATCATATACATTTCAGGTATGCATCATTGAAAATTAACACATACTCTTTTTTTTTCCCTCCCCCCGCTGTTTTTGATCCCATTCCCCACTCCACCCCCATAAAATGTCTCTGTTACATAGTTGTTCATTATTATTATTATTTTCTCGCCTGGTCTGTCTTAGTCCTGCTATGAGTGAAACCATCCGGTATTTTTCCGTTTCTTCCTGGCTTATCTCACTAAGCATGATCTTTTCCAGCTCCTTTCATGTTGCTGCAAAAGGCATGTGTTTATTTTTTTTTTGGCTGCTGAGTAATATTCCATTGTAACACATACTCTTAATGTGTGTATATATGCTAGATGAAGTTTGTCACTAAGAGAGCAGGTGTTTGGAACTGGGTGGCTGGTGTTCAGACACTAGTTCTGCCACTGTAGTAGATGATGCCAATGCCTGCTCCTGTCTGGGTTCCATGGACTGACAACCAGCTGATAGCACTTGTGTTCCAGGGCTTTCTCTGGAAACTGGAACCCACCCAGCCTCATGTACTATGAACCTGAGAGTTACTTCCCAAAGAGTGGCCTTCGGCCAAGTCTCTGGAGCAATGGGATTGGAAGGTCAATACCCCACTTCCTCACCCTCAAGCAGGTTGACTGAGATGTCAGTGGTACAGAGCCCTGGCTTCCCGTGGTGCAACTTCTGCATTCCACGGTCTACTTCCCTTCTCATGTCACTTCCCCACTTTCCTTCCCATGTTTTTGGAGAATCAACCCTCAGATCAACTACTTTCCCTAGAACTCTTATTTCTGGCCCTCTATCAAGGGGAGTTGAAACCAGCAGAATTTTCCTCACTTAAAACTTCAGACAAGGTACTGGACCTTTCCGCACAAAGGAAGATGAAGAAAATAATAGCAACAGCAACTCAAAGGTTCTTGTGTAGATTGAAATAAGAGTAACTGAAAAATTATTGGAGTTATCCTGGGGTTATCCTGGGACCCCCCAACCCTGCATGCTCTGAAGAGGTTACGTCATCTGCTACATAAAGACAAAACATACTCTTAATGTGAAAGAACTTTAATATAATAGTGTTATTAGAAAAAGAGGAGAAGGAAGGATAATAGTTTCCCAATAAAAAACCCAAAGTTACCCACAACCCAAAGTTGTGGGTAAACACACAGCCAATAGCGTTGGCCCAGAGCAAGGCCACTGAGACCCAGAAGTGCTACAAGGCTGAGGCATTTTCTGGTGGGGAACCACAGAAAAGGGGCCAGGCAAGTCTCGGATGGAAAGAGAAAACTCAAAGTACAAGTCAAGCTAACAATGCCTTTGTCAGCCTCCCCATGAGTTTCTCCTTTTAAGTGTCTCCTTCTATGTCCCCCAAGTGTCTGGTGCAAGTTCAAAGCCAGGAAGCCAGCATGGCCTTCTTACATCCCTTTGCTCCAACTCTTCAGTTCCACCTTTCTTTAGGTAGGGCAGGGAACACGGAATCCCTCCTTTTTGTGGAGACCACACTCTAACAAAATGTAGCAGCACCCAACACAGTGCAAGCACACGTAAATGCCAGTCTTAATCATTACAATCATGTGTTGCTTAGCAACAGAAACATATCCCGAGACACATATTCTTAGGCATTTTGTCATGTGAATGTCATACTAAGATGGTAGTGCCAACCCCACTCCAAAGCTAGTTGTCATACCTGGTTGGGACCACTGCCCTCTACACTGTCCCTCATGACCAAAAGATCATTTAAAGACACAAGACTGTCTTGTGTTTACTATCGTTGTCTTTGCTTCTTGGACAGTAGTCATGTGTCAGACCCCATGCTGAGACACTCATTTTGTTATTTTATGAACCCTCTCAACTGCCCTCAGAGGGAGAGTGGACTCGTCAGCTTTACTTTTCAGATGAAGAAATGTAGGCTAGCATGGTACCACCAGGAACCCACAATCATACATTCATCTTGCCTTATTTTGAGGGCAGGAGAGAGGGTGGGAGGGAAGGGCTAGGGTGAGTTGGGGCTGGGCACTGCCTCAATCTTCTCCTTTGCCACGTTTTGCAGTATCTCCCAAATGAGTCAGGCCTCCAAGATGAGAAGAAGGTGCTGGACAATATGCACCATGTGATCCTCGTGTGGATGGGGCCTGTCCTGCCACTGCTGGTTCTGGTGCACCCTGACTACATCAAGCCCCTGCTGGGTGCCTCAGGTAGGTGGGCCAGAACTTGGAGTGGTGGGCAAATCCAGCGCCTACCCAGGCTTTTAGGCACATTATCCAGATGAAGGTTCATTTGAATAGGTCTTTGAAGGGTGAACAGGAATTTTCCAAAGCAGAAATGGCAATACAGACAATGGGGACAGCATGGGCAAGGTGTGACAATGTCACACCAAAGATCCAGGAAATTTGAGGGGATGGCCACCCATCCGGAGGTCAGAGCTGAGCTGGTTAGGATAGGCAGTTGTTTGCCCAGGATTTTAAATGACTGTTGCTCAATTCTAAGCTTTGGCACTCCCATCCTTTGGGTTCTGACACTCCTACTGTGGTTATTCCAGTCTACTTTCTTTACCTGGGCTGACAGAGAGGAAGATGTAGAAGGATTGCTTCTCTCTTCTGTAGTACACTCCTATCCCAAAGAGTCAGGTTCCCAATTGTGCTTAACAAGGCCTCATTCAGCCTTTGACAGACAATGCCAATTAACCCCTTCCAGGAAGCCTTCTCTACCTCCCTGAAAGACCCTAGTTCTCTCCTCTGGACTTTTACATTCTCATTCCTGACTCTTTAGACTGGCTATATCTGGCTATGGCTCTTTCATCCTCGTCAGTGGGATTCTGGATCCCTAATATGGTTTTATATGAAGCTGGGCACCTCCAGGGGCATCTCAGGATGTTTGAGAGAGGAGGGGTGGGAAAGAGAGCTCCATGAATTTAGGATCTCTGCCCCCTGCGTGAGCCTCTACAAAGACACATCTGGAGACTGTCTTCAAGACAATTCACTCCCCACCAACTGCCCCTGCCAGGAGCCCTGAAGGCGAAAGGGGCTGCCTTCCTTCTCTTCCCCAGCTGTGTCTTTCCCATGCCTCATTATTGTGTTTATGAGGGGATGACTGTATCCATGAAACAAGGAGAGTAACCTAAATCCCGGAGAGGTACTGTTTCTAAAGGATGGGACCATGTTGTAAAATTGGCCCTGGGATTTGGGTGGACTGAATTCAAATTCTTGCTGGAACACATTCTTGCTGTGTGATTCAACAACTCATCTTACCTCTCAGGCCCTCAGTTTCTGATCTATAAAAGGGGTTAATTGTGAAGACTCAGTATTAGAAAGTAATGTAGGTACTGATAAGGGTTTCTTCTCTTCTGCCTTTCTTCATGTAGTTTTTATTCTTTTTCTCCTTCTCTATCTCCTCTTCCTTCTCCTTCTATTCCCCCTCCTTCTCACATCATCTCAAGTATCATCCTGTGTGGTTGTGAGATTCCAAGAAGATCACAGAGTGGCTTCCCCAACATGGGAATACTCTGGTAGTTTCCCTCAGGACAGGCAGGCTAGCCACTGCCTCCTCAACTGGAGGAGCTGGATGAGGGACTCTAGGTTGGGGAGGGTGGGGTTGTGACTCAGGAGAGGCCTCCTGGCCCCAGGGTGCCATGCTCCTCCATAGCTGCACACCTGGGATTGGACAGCTCTGGACCCAATTTGTAGCTTCCATTCCCTGTTGGGATATCCTTGGGGCCACCTGAAGGGGGTGGTGGCTCTGAATTTAAACCCACACAGTTGTTGGGCTCTGAGGAAGCCATGGATCCCCTTGGAACCTCTGTTTTTTCATCTAATGGGCATTTGGGGTAGAGTGTTCATGGAAGAAAATCAATGAAAATGCTTTATGGAAGACAAGGCATATTATATAGGCATAATTATAGCTTACTTTATACATTAATTTTTTTTATTGAGATAAAATTCACATAACATATAATTACCCACTTTAGTGTATACAACTCAGTGGTATTTAGTGTATTCAAAATGTTGTGCAACTATTGGCTCTGTTCTTAAAAATTTTCATTACCCCATAAAAAATTGTATTCATTAAGTAATCACTTTCCCTCTCTCCTTGTCCCCTAATCTACTTATCTCTTTATAGATTTTCCTATTCTGGATACATAATACATTAGGAATTATATTAAATGTGGTCTTTTGGAACCCCTTCTACAAAGGATTTATTTATTTATGCATACAAGAACTGGGGTACAGGTCAGAGATGTGGGGGGTGAAAGGGTTCACCAGAGACAGAGTAGGGAGTAGAACAGGAAGATCTACTGAAATACACTGTGAGGGGAGCAGCAGGCAAGACAGGAGAGGTCTGCCACGCCAGGTGGGTCACCCTTCTGGCCAGGTGTCAAATTCATGCTTCTGTGGCTGTGAACAGCCTCATAGTGCTGCCCTTTAACCAGTTTCCCCACCAGGGAGGGCTCCTGGAACACTTTTTTTTATTATACTAATATTTTGAGGTTGAACCTCATTGTAGCATGTATTAGTACTTCATTCCCTTTTAAAGGCTGAGTAATATTCCATTTTATTCATATATGGACATATCAAAAATTGTTTGTCCACTTATCCATTGATCAGCATTTGGGTTGTTTCTTTTTGATAATGAGTAATGTTATGAACATGTGTATACAAGTTTTGATGTGTACATATATATTTTCATTTCTCTTGGGTTGTTGCTTCATTGTAGAATTGCAGCATCACATGGTAATTCTACGTTTAACTTTTTAAGAAATTGTCACGTTATTTCATTTTTCAATAATAGTGGTCTTCTGTGAATTGGGGACCCAATTATCGATCATACAAATTTTCAATACCAATAACCAAGAATAATCATCATAGTTATATAATTGGCTATTTTCATTTACATGCACAGATACTTGATTAACTATTCATTTACATGCATAGATATTTAATAGCACCTACAATGTGTTGGAACACATTAAATTATTCGGTTTTTGAAGGATGGCATGAGGCAGGAAGCCTTGTTTTGTTTCCCCTTTGGCAGATGAGGAAATAGAGGGCCAGAGTGATAATCTGCACTTTCTACAATTAATCAGTGATATGGGCTGAAACTTGAACCCAGATATGGCCATCCCAGAGGCAAAACTTTCTATCACCGTAATTTTCAGCTTCCACCTGGGCACTGTCTGGATTTTTATTATATGACTTTCTTCAAGGATACCATCCCCTTTAATTGGTGGTGGTTGGGGTGGGAGATGAGAGCAGCAACCGGGACAGGCTCACCCATGACTGGGTGGTCAGGGTTAGCGTGGAAGGGATAGAAGATGGGAGAAGGTTTAGCTGTGGAGGAGGTTTGGAGAAAGCTTCTGGAGTATGTTGGTGGAGTTGGGCCTGAAAGATGCACAGGGTTTTCCAGATGAGGAGTACTAGGTGGAGGGTGCTGTTCGTGCAGAGGTGCAGATGTGTGAAAATGCCAGGGGAATTCAAATGTCTTGGAGTGTCTAGAGTGAAGGTGATTTGTAGGTATGGAGTTAAGCAGGAGCTGGACTCAGGGTACCTGTGTACAAAGTGGATACATTTGTGTTTTATCTTGGGGGTCATAGGGAACCATGGGAGTTGTTTGAGTAAGATAGTCATTAGACAGATCTGTGTGTCAAAAAGACTCTTGAGAGGTCAGCCTGGAGTTCAGAGCCCAAAGATGAGAGGAGCAAGTAGACTCCCACCTTTCTCTTCAATGCCACTTCTCTCAGAAGCCTGCCTGATTTCCAGAAGCCCTTTCTCTGGGCCTCCCTTTGTACCTGTCATACTTTCTACATTCTTGATAATTATGTGATGTGCTTCTGCTTCCTTTCTCCACTCCAAACTGAACTCCTTCAGGTAGGGTGTGGAGCCGAACCATCTCTGGATCTCTGGTATTACCCAGAATGGGTTGGGTACAGAGAAGTAGCAGAGAGGTGTGCAAGTGGGAGAATGAGTGGACTGGTGACTATACATACAATTGGCCAATTCCTGGGGAGTGTATATGTAGGTGACTGAGTCACATCTTAGGTAAAAGTGACATCACTTGAATTTCAGGTATTCCTCCTGGGGTCCCTGCCCACTGTATTTCAAATTTATCTAGCACATGGAAAGGTAATTCACTCTATTCATCCATCTGTCCATATGTTCATCCATCTACCCATCCATTCATCTGTTCTTTGTCTCTTCATCCATCCAGCCATCCTTTTATTGGCTCATTTGTTCACTGAATAAAATTTATTAGCATCATTATGTCAGTGATTGACATGGTTCAACCCCTTGAGGGACTTTTAACTGGATACAATCCAGAAGAAATTAGAAGGATGAGGGAAGAGTGAAGCAGGGAGAGAAACTGGTGGAAAGACTCAAACAGAGAGAGAACTATTTTCCTCCAGGAAACTGAGAAACATACTTTGATATTAGGGTGCTCAGTTTATGTGTTGGGCATGGATAATAGAGGTTTTTGGGAGGGGTCTGAACTGGAGTCCATCATTCAAGAATTTGAAAATGGGCTGGGCAGCTGGTGCTTGAGGCTGATGGGTGTGTGAACAGGAAAGTACTCATTAAGATCTAGAGTTTGATAAGATCACCCCTGGAGTCAGTATACAGGACATACTGGAGAGGGTGAGGTTGGAGGCTGAGCTAGGGGCAAAGAAGGGAGTGGGCTAGAGGAAGACTCTGGTGAAGTAGGCAATTCTGAGTGGGGGGACACAACCTGGGTAAAAGTGAAAGGCAGCATGTGAGGTAATATGGTGGATATTGCAAGATGTAGGGTGGAGCAGGGTTTTTCATATTAGCCTGAATTGACACATTTTTTTTCTAGGGCAATAGGGAGGCATAGGAGGTGTTCGGGCAGGGGAGGCTTATGTTTAGATCAGCATGTTTATAAGGATCTTTATGGGATTAGTGTGGAGGATTGAGGGGCAAGGTGGAACGCTGTAACCCAGATAAGAGACCCAAGGGTCAGAGGGACAGAGCTCTGTTTTGAGCCATCATTACTTCTTCCTCCGCAGCTGCCATTGCCCCCAAGGATGATCTTTTCTATGGCTTTCTGAAACCTTGGCTGGGTGAGTGAGGGACTGGGTAGTTTGGGTTTCAGGGAAGAGGGGGCAGGGTGTGGGATTTCTTGGTGTTTCAGAGTGACCCATAAGCTCAATTTTATGACTGCAGGAGATGGACTGCTGCTCAGCAAAGGTGACAAGTGGAGCCGGCACCGTCGCATGCTGACACCTGCCTTCCACTTTGATATTCTGAAGCCCTACATGAAGATATTCAACCAGTGCACTGACATCATGCATGTGAGTCCATGTTTCATGGGAAGAGGTTGTCCTGGGAGTATGATTGCTCTGGGCTCCAACTCTTGGGCAAGTTATGCATATAAGGAAGCCTCTTTATCTATAAAGTTGGCTTGTCATGAGCAAGTGGCTAGGCATTGTCAGCTTGGCTTAAGGTCCAAAGTCACCGTGACCATGGCCATGCATCTCTCTTTTCCAGGCTAAGTGGCGACGCCTGGCACAGGGCTCGGTGGTCTCCCTTGACATGTTTGAACATGTCAGCCTCATGACCCTGGACAGTCTTCAAAAGTGTGTCTTCAGCTACAACAGCAACTGCCAGGAGTGAGTGTTCCCTCTCTGGGGAAGATGGAGGCAGCTCTTTAGGGGTGAGGTGGTGGTAAGGAAAAAGAAAATCTTAGGTTTTAGGCACTTCTGGGAAGCTAGGAGCTGACATTACATAGCTGAGCCTTTTCCTTATCCGAAATATTTAACATCCTAATTCCTTCATTATAGTCATCATGTGAGAATTAAATGAGATAATGTGAGTCAGTGGCTTGACACATAGTAGGTGATCAGGACATGCTAGTTATACTCATTTCTCCAAGAAGAGTGGGAAGCATTCCTCACTCTCTGAGTCTTAATTTACTTGTTCGTAACACAAAGATGACAGTTCTGAACTTTTGAAAGATGGCTAGAAACACTGCCCTGGCATTACAGTAGATAGATACTCAGTGAATATTTTTTCAGATGAATGAATGACCATTTCCCTGGTCCATTCATTCATTCATCAAATACTTGTTGTGTACCTACTATGTGCCTGATACTATGTGAACTGTTGGGAATATAGTGGTGAGCAATAGATTAAGTTTCTGTTCTTTGGAGGTAAAAGGAATAAAGGAACAAGAATAAATGGCAAGCATGTAGCACATAGTAAATCCTCAACATTTAGCAGTTTAGTATTTTTTGAAAACAATACCTTTAGGAGATATGATTGATATATTATGTAATTAACCCATTTAAAGTATACAATCTAGTAGTCTTTACTGTAGTCACAGAATTGTGCAACCATAACCATAATCAATTTTAGAATATCCTCACCAAAATAAGCCCTGAACATTTTAGCAGTCACCCCTCCTCCCTACTAATAACTCTAGGAAATCATTTGTCTACATCTGTCTTTATAAATTGAGCTATCATGGAAGTTTCATATACATAGAATTATAGAGACTTTGTGTTTGGTTTCATCTACTTAGCATGTTTTAAAGGTTCACCCATATTGTAGGATGTCTCAATAATTCTAATTTGATGAATAATATTCCATTTACCATGAATTACAACATTTTGTTTATCTGGTCATCTATTGGTGGACAGTTGGGCTGTTTCCACTTTCTTGGTGAATATGAGTAATGCCACTGAAAACATTTATGGACAAGTGTCTGTGTGAACATATTTTTTTTTAAATAATGTAATAATTTATTTTTACATCATTTGGTGCCTTTTTCCATCTTAATTGTAATCCTCGAGGGCTTCCCATCACCAAATCAGCCATGTGCCATCACCATAGTCCAGTGCACTTCCCTTCCCCCAATGGATGGAGCAGAGGGAGAGTAGTTCAGCCAATGGACTTTGGTGTCTAAACTGGTTTTCATAGGAAAACCATTGTTTCCTGTGGCACCCCATTGTTCTTTCACTACATCTAAGAATTGGCTGGTCCCCGGAGGCACCTCTCTTTCTAATGGGCCAGATCCCAGATGACAGATTATCGGAATACAGAAAACAGGAAAATGTAGTTAACACAAGCCTCTCTTTGTCACCTACCCATTGGTGGAGGAAGTTTGTCTTATGGGATGCGCCTGTGCTCATGGCCCTTTTTCTGCCTGGCAGGAAGTTGAGTGATTACATCTCGGCCATCATCGAGCTGAGTGCCCTGGCTGTGCGTCGCCAGTATCGCCTGCACCACTATATTGATTTCATCTATTACCGCTCGGCTGATGGACGACGGTTCCGGGAGGCCTGTGACACGGTGCACCATTTCACCACCGAGGTCATCCAGGAGCGACGGAGGGCATTACGTCAGCAGGGGGCTGAGGCCTGGCTTAAGTCCAAGCAGGGCAAGACCTTGGACTTCATTGATGTCTTGCTTCTGGCAAGGGTGAGGCTGGAACCCTGCCCAGGCTAACATCCTCAGATTCCTACCAACTGCATAAAATGAAAACTTTCAGACTAGAGTGGACCGAGGGTGCTGGCTGGCGCAGAACACCCAGTAGTTCTGAATTAGTCTGCTAGGCTGCCATAATGATGAGTCACAGACGCAAACAATAGAAATTAATTTTCTCCCAGTTTTGTGGGTTAGATGCCTGAGTGTCAGCAGGCTTAGTTGCTTCTGAGGTCTCTCTTCTTAACCTATAAATGGCCCTCTTCCCTCTGTCTTCCCTCTAGCATAGCTGTGTCCAAATTTCATCTTTATAAGGACAGTGGTCATACTGAGTTAAGGTCTGCCCTAATGGCCTCATTGTAACTTAATTACCTCTGCAAATGCCTTATCTGTAAATCTGATCACATTCCGGGGGGTTAGTATTGCAAGTATGAATTCTGGAGGAGGGGGTGAGGTACAATTCAGCCTACAACACTTGCAAAGATGAAATTCAAGACATGGAAGAAATGTGACACTAAGTTATGTCCACCAGTCACTCACTAGTGCTGCTCGGTGGGATTTCTGAGCAGTGCCTGGGCTCTGCTTCTAGATTCCAGTTCTGGCTCTGCTGCTTCATCGATGTTTGACCTTAGTTATTTAAGCTTTTTCTCTCTGCATCAATTTCCTCTTTTACAATGTGGTGATCATGAAACCTAGTCATGAGATAGTTCTTGGGCCTCTGGTGGAGGCTTGATACTAACAGATCAAGAAATAAATCCCTTCTCCTTCCATCTGTGATGCTTTTTCCCTCTTTCAGTCTTTCTTGAATCAGCTGCACACCTCACTGTGCCTGGAATCCTTTCCCTTGCAACTTGTTTTAAGTGGAGGGATGTCTTTGCTTAGGATCCTCTAGAATGTGGAGGATGGGATGTAATAGGGTGAACATTGTGCACTGGCCATTGCAGGATGAAGATGGAAAGGAACTGTCGGATGAAGACATCCGGGCTGAAGCAGACACCTTCATGTTTGAGGGTAAGGATATGGGGTGAAGCTGGGGGAAGACAGGCCTTCCTGTCTCCATTGTTTGAAGCATTTCCACCATCTCCAGCCAGCCCCCATTTGAAAGTCTCATCTGCCTGCAGGTCATGATACCACATCCAGCGGGCTCTCGTGGGTGCTGTTCAACTTGGCCAAGTATCCAGAGTACCAGGAGAAGTGTCGGGAAGAAATCCAGGAAGTCATGAAAGGCCGGGACCTGGAGGAGCTGGAATGGTCAGTTTGGCCTTAAGGGGAGGGTAGTGGGCAGGTGGAGCCTACAACCTTGGGTGTGAGTCCCTGCTCTACTACCTACTGACTGTCCACAGCCCCAGATAAGTCATTTAAGTGTCTTCAATTTCAATTTATTTGACTATAAAATGGAGATGACAGTAACACACATGCTTTCCTAGGAGTTCTTGGTTAGGAGTGTCTTTATCAGCAATGGTTGCACTAATGCTGCATAACAAAACAGCCCCCAAACAGTGGTTTACAGCAAGCAGTTATTTTTTGTTCTTGTCTGGATTTTACTCTTTTACTGCTGGATGCCACTGAGTTGAGAGGGGCTGCTTCTAAACTGTAGTTTGAATCCTGGCTTGTTCCATGTGTCTCCTCATATTTTCCTTGAAATGGCAGAGACCTTGGGCATGTTCTTCACAAGGCACATTCTAGAAGCACAAAGAGTCACACAGTTTAAAACTTCTGCTTGCATATAACATTGCAATTGCTAAATTAAGTCATATGGCCAAATCCAACATGAATGGGGCAGGACATAGACTCTAACCATTTGAACAGAAAACACATGACAGACTACTAGTATATAATTGGAATATGGGGAGAGGAGAAGAATCTGGAACAATACAGACACAATTTAGAGATTTTGTGGATTTGGTTCCAGGCCACTGCAGTAAAGTGAATATTGCATATAGGTCAGTTCTACAATTTTTTTTTGTTTCCTAGTGTATACAAAAGTATGTTTATACTATACTGGAGTCTTTGAAGTGTGTGATAGCACTGTGTCTAATAAACAATGGACACACCTTAATGAAATGTGACATAGAGTCACAAAGTGGGCCAATGTTGGAAAAATGGTACCAGTAGACTTGCTCAATGCAGGGTTGCCACAAACCTTCAGTTTGTGAGGTTCAGTAAAGTAAGGTGTAATAATGCAATGTAACCTGAATTCCTTTAGATAGGTGTGGTGTAGAGCTGATTCTGGATGATGCACAGAGAACAGCATTAAATAGCATCTAGTTTTTTTTTTTTAAAGATTTATTTATTATTTATGCATACAGACCTGGGGTACAGGCCAGAGGTGCAGGGGCGGTGAGAGGATTCACCAGAGACAGAGCAGGGAGAAGAACAGGCAGACTGACAAAGGACACTGCTGAGGGGAGCAGCAGTCAGGAGGGGTCAGGAGAGTCTGCCGCGCCATGTGAGTCACCTCTGGGGAAGGGATTGAATTCATCTGAATTGGCTTAAGCTTCTTAGTGCTGTCTTTAACCTGCTGTTCCACTAGGGAGGGCCTGCATCTAGTTTTTTAACTGAAGTGATACTGGCTCATGACATGTAGGTTTCAGGTGTATGGTCTTATAAGTCAACACGTGAAGTCTAGTTTCCATTTATCATCAAGCAGTTGGCCTCTATTACCCGATGGGCCATCCCTTCTACTGTTAACATCTAACAGCAACAGAAGTCCCTCTAGGTTCAATGTCAGTCTTATGTCAATCTTTTGGATTCTTACCTCAGTGGGATGACCTCAGGGGAGCACCCTCAGTTGGGTATATTTAATATCATCAGTACCTTGCTAATCTTTGTTGATCTGCCCCTACCCCCTTTCTTAACAGAGGGAGAAGATGTCTAGATTCTGAGAGGTGGGTAACTAGCAGTCATAATACGCTCCCATTTCTAGTGGAGCCCACATATAGGGGTGCAGGTATGGCCTATGCCCATTATGGTAGTGACATAAAGTTTCATTCAAAGAGAACCTGGTTCCTGTCCACCCCTGACTATGGAGGTGTCTCTTTTCTTCTTTCTCCTTTTCCTAATAAACTGTCCTTTTAAAATATTAAAAACAAAAGACACACACACACACACACACAAGAAACAAAAACCCCAACAAAATAGCCTACTGATTTAAAGAAAATCTAGATCGTGAACCAAGTTGTAACTAATCTGATTTTGGACTTTGAATTCCAAAGACAAGAAATAAATAAATAAAAGAGATTAAAAATTAGGTAAATAAAATACAGGTCGGTAAAGGGCTGTGGCCCTGGGTCTCTGGATTCCCAGTGACTTCCACTTAAGGCACCAGTTAGGGCTAATGCTGGGGTCACTAATGCTGCTCTGATCAGTGGGAGTGGTTTCCACTGTTTTGCAGTTAAGATCAGTGTTGTGTATGTGCACAATTGCTAATGCTGGAAATTGGGGCAAATCTGAGATCTTGGATTGATGTCCTGTGTTGTTGTTTCTGAGTGCACACATGTATGTGTGTTTATACATGTACACACATCTGCAAGACATGCAACACACATGTATGTGTGTGTTGGGGAAGTGTGTATGAGTTTTAATGCATGTGAGTGTGAATATGTATAAATGTGAACACACAATGTAACACACATGTAGATGTGTTTATAGATGCAAATACATGCATGCTTGGGTATATGTGTTCATGTACATGGAGTGTGTGTGTGTGTTTGGGGGAGGAGTAGTGCCATGGCCTGACCCTGGGGTACCCGTTGCTCTGTGACCTTCAGGGATGACCTGACCCAGCTACCCTTCACAACCATGTGCATCAAAGAGAGCCTGCGTCAGTTCCCACCTGTGACGTTGGTCTCCCGCCGCTGCACCCAGGACATCAAGCTGCCAGATGGGCGCATCATCCCCAAAGGTACCCACCCACCCACTGTGTGCTGCTCTGCTGCCCACAGGGAACTGGTTATGCCTGGCCCATTGCATCATCCCTGTAGATGGGGCAGCTCTGTGTTCTTGTTGCTATTGGGGTGATGGGAGAGACCCAGTGTGGGAGAGAGAGGTGGGTAAGTTCAAGTGAAAAGAAAGAACTGGGTGTAGAAGGGTGGGCCAGGCAAGGGAAGGTAGGGGGTGCTTAATTCAGTTGCTGGATATCCTCTGGAGACCAAGCTCTGTTGTGAGTGTCTACAGAGGCCTCAGCGCCAGGCCCAGGCCCTGAGCATCACCCACTTTGGGGGCAACAGAGTAGGGCACAGATGTGCCCATCTACATCGAGTCAGGGATTGGGGAAATGGAAGGGGGCTGAAGCAGCCTCAAATAAGGAGCAATGGCTCTATTTGGCATGGAATGCAGGGAGTGAAAGAAGGAACATGAGAGGTGAGCCTTGGAGGTTGGAAGTCAAAGAGAGCTTGTTTATGGAGCAAAGCCTCCGGGTACAGATTGTGAAAGGTCTTGAATGCCAAGTAGAGGCATTTTATCTTGATCCTCAGGGCAGTGGGAATCATGGCAGGCATTTGAGCTGGGGATGCACAGTGTGAGGTATGTGAGTAAGAAAGAGTCCTGTTTGGCTAGCATGACATGCAGAAGGCAAGGGATAGGGGCCTCAGGGACAAGAGGTGGAGTTGAGGGGGGGCATTAGAATTTTTCAGGAAGGATGAGTAGGAAGGGTGGCAGATGGCTCATAGGAACAACATGACTCCAAGGGAGGTGGAGGCCTGGTCCCCTTTTGCCCCACTGATTCCACCTTCCCCCCAGGAATCATCTGCCTGGTCAGCATCTACGGGACTCACCACAACCCCACAGTGTGGCCTGACTCAAAGGTGATCTTCTACCTCAACCTCCCTTCTTTCAGCTTCTTTCTCCTTGGAAAGGGCAATCTGCCTTGGGTCATCTCTCCCCTTATTCCCCAGGGAGTCAGATTGCAGGACTGGGTGCAGGGTCTCCCTGGGTGAATGTGTCTCCCTCCATTTTTAAATTCTGCTCACTGTTAATTTATCAGGTCAAAAAACTGCTGGGGCAGTGAGGGCAGAAGAAGACACTGTGTTTGTCCTCATGGAGCTCACAGCTAACTGTGGAGGAAGAAAACAAGTAAAATACAAAATCATTTTGGGTGCTTATAAATGCACAAAGGAGATTAAAACTGATGCAGAGAGTGGGAGCACCTCAGTTCAGATGGGGAGGAGAGGCCTTGCTGAGGAGGCCCTTGGCACTGAGACCTGAAAGCTGAAGAGCAGGGGGAAGTGTGACCTGGGAAGAGGGGTGGGGGGAGGGACAAAGTTCCTGTGATGGGAAGGAGCCTGTTATGCCTGAACACAGAAGGCAGAGGTGGCTGGATTGCAGTGTGGTTCTCGCTGTCCACCTGGGTGGCCCCAGAGGCTGAAGGAGGGAACCGGGCTGGGCTGGCTGGGCCAGGCTCCAGACTGACCCCGGGCGCTCCGCCTAGGTGTACGACCCCTACCGCTTCGACCCGGACAAGTCGCAGCAGCGTTCTCCGCTGGCCTTCGTGCCCTTCTCAGCAGGACCCAGGTAACTCTTCTTTTCCCCACGGCCCAAGCCTCGGAGGAACTCTGAGGCCACTGGAAAGTCAGAGATGTATCGGCCTGGAGCCGCGGTCCCGTCCCTCTCAGTGTTCTTTCCGCTAACCTGGCACCCTCTTTGAACCCTTACCACAACAGGGAGCCCCCAGCCAGACTCCATAGCATCCCCAGTCCCGAGCATCCACTGTGTGCCTCCTCGTGTTGGAATTGCCTCTCTTTCCGTTTTACAGATGAGGGACCGAGAGGCATGAGGGGGAGGCCACCAGTCCCAGGGATCCCTCAGCTCCCAGAGGCAGGGCCTGCGCTCCCCTCCCCACCCATGTCCCCCTTCCTCCAGGAATTGCATCGGACAGAGCTTCGCCATGGCGGAGATGCGCGTGGCGGTGGCGCTGACGCTCCTGCGCTTCCGCCTGACAGTCGACAGAACGCGCAAGGTGCGGCGGAAGCCGGAGCTCATCCTGCGTACGGAGAACGGCATCTGGCTCAACGTGGAACCGCTGCCTCCTCGGGCCTGAGCGCCCGCGCGTACCTGCTGACCCCGGGGACCCAGGACCCACTTCGGAGGGGCCGAACCTCCCCCCGACTCCGCAAAGACCCTGGTAGCAGAGACCACGCCCCTCGAAGTGCTGGCTGAGTCCAGGCTCCTCCGCAGGGCAGAGTGACAGTGCAGGCCACGCCCCCTAAAGCAAGGCCCTCCCTCCTGAGACTCTGATCCCGCCCCTGTGCCCCAGGTCCCGCCCCCCGAGTGCCTTTTCCTGCCCTCTTAGGGGCAGGAGCAGGCTCGGCCACGCCTGCTAGATTCCAGGCCAAGCTCCTCTTGGGTCCTGCTCTGGCCCCCAAGTTCCTGCAGATTCAGGCCCCCAGGCCTGGTCACCAAACCCTGTGAGGACCTAAGAACAGACACTTAAGATCTCTCGAATTTAAGCCTGGGATCCCTACTGGCTTCTGAATTGAGGACTTGGAGTTGGAGTCAGAGGTCAGCTTTGAACTCAAACAGCACCTTCCTGAGTTCTACCCCCCCACCCCTCTCTGCTCTTATGGACCCACTCCTCAGGCATCAGGGTGCACCCTAGGGCCGTGGGCAGTTTGCTTTTGTTGTTTTGTAAACCCAAACTCTCACAAACTTCTTCCTTCCTTACTCAGAGGCCCTTTGCCTACTATTTTGATTATTTTGTAGAATAAAAGCAAAGGATGCAGACTCCCTCTTCTTCCTCCCTCATCCTCTGGTTTGGCCAGACCCTACATCTGGAGCCCAGCAAGGAAATTAAAGGCCTGGGACAGTAAGGAAACTACCAAGGGTGGTTGTAGGTTAGGAGACTGGGAAACCATTTGTCCTTAGACATAAAGGCAGACTTTTGGGGACAGTGTGTGCATTCACGTATCTTATCCATGGCCTGCATATCAAGTGTCTGCTGGCACTGAGCCTGGAGCACCGCTGAGGTCAATTACTGCCCTGGTGAGGAGAGCAGGCGAATGTAGAATACTTGCACATGTAAATGTTTGCAACCTGTGGCAAGTGCTTCAAAGGAGAGGCTGTTGCATAATGAGAGTGGGAGGTAGTTCAGGTTAAGATTTCCTGTGGAGTGTGAGCAGGGACTGGTCAGGTCATGGTCAGACCTCGGCTGGCAGGGAGGTGGATTGCACACGGACAAGTACTGGAGCTGGGAACTCAGGAAAAGAGGGAGACAGAGTTCCCAGAAGGACAGGAGGGGTGGCTGTCTAGTCATGGGGCGGGGTGGGGGCTGGGGGTGGGAGAGGAGGAGGTATGGGTAATTCCCCAGTCTTTGGCTAGAAGAACTAGATGGAGGAGTAGTCCCTTAGATGGGGGCATCCTCCAATAATCATATTAATTCCTTATATTTTTATTGAATATCTGTGGTAAGCCAGGTAGCATTTGAGCCTTTGCATAACTGACATTCTAAAAGGGAAGACAGATGACACACAATATGCACATAAATGAATTCACACAGGACGGGACTTTTAGGGATCACTGGAGGAGTTCTGAGCAGAGATTTCATGGTAATCTTTTGGATACTGTGTGTTGAATAGAGCTTGTGAGAGCCAAGGGTGGAGCTAGGACATCAGATGGGGGTGCTTGCCTTAGTCTGGGTGAGAGTGGGGGAAGGGGGAGAGTTAAGGAAGGGGTAGCAGGATGGTCAGTGAAGCCATTGCGATAAAGAATTTAGGTAGGAAAGAAAGGGAGCCACGTGGATATCCAGGGGGAGAGTGCTGGAGGCAGGCGGGACATCCAGTGTAAAGACCCTGAAGTAGGAACAAACTTGGAGGGTTTGGAGGAGACTGGTATGGCTGGAGGGGGGAGTGGGAGGAGATGAGAGCAGGCAGGTAATGGAAGTAGACACACAAGATCTTGAGGGACATAATTTGAAAGGGAACCAAGAAGTCTTCTTAGAGCAGAGACAAGATCTGTCATAATCTTTGACTGTTACGTTGAATGTACACTCTAGGAGGCAAGCGTGGACTAGGGCCAGCATGAGATGACTGTATTAGCCTATGTAAGAGATGACAGTGGCTCAATTCAAGCTGGGGGCTGTAGAGGTGAAGAGGGGTGGATCGAATTTTGATGAGAGATGGTTGTTTCAGGGAGGTTCCCTGGCAAGTCTGCTTATAGACAGAATGTAGGATTCTGGAGAAGGAACCTTCTGGAGAAGCAGTTTAGAAACATGGAAATGCCATCATTTGAGTTGGGAGACATTGTATGGAATAAATTAGATTTGTTTGTGTGTGTGTGTAAGGGCTTACTATCAATTTGGACTAAAAAGATTTGGCTCCCTCAATCAGGCAGTTTGGGTAGGCAGGTCCAGAATTCTGGAGAATTCTGGGCTGGGGATGTACATTTGGGAAATCTCAGTATTTAAATGGTGTATAAAAATACCCCAAGACTGGGTCAGATCCTTCCCTCCCCGGGTGTGCATGTGTATGTGTGTGTATTGTGTGTGTACAGAAGAGGGATTAAGGCCTAATATTATTATAACTATAATGAGATATAAAGTTGAATAAATCCTGTATGCCCTTCCCTTATATTTAATTCCTCATTTAATTCCTATATATACAGTTTTTACAAAATGGGTACTGTTAGGGAAAGTGGAAATTGAGACCCCTCTCTCTCCTCCCCCAGAATTTAATGACTCAACTAAAGCTCTCAATTATGTTCTTGGGACCTCACAGAGGACCCTGTCATTTTCTACCTCATTCTTTGGGCTCCTAATCCTGATTTGGGTGTCTGCCTCCGTTTGCTTAGGATGGTGTGTCCCAGGTGTGACAGGGGTGCTAGGCTTGAAAAATGAACTCAAGCTCTTCCGCTGGTTCTGGGGCGCCCCCGCGTGGCGTGTGCTGGAGTCGTCGACTGCCGTCTTGACACTGGGGGCTAGTGTGGAAACAAGTGTCTTGCAGAAGCCCCAGGCTCTTGCCATTCTCACATGTGTCCCCGCTGCAACTGAGTGTCTCCAAACACGCACCGTCAATCCCCTAAGCACTGCACCTGTTTCCCTCAGTGCAATCTTGTCATTGGCCAACAGAAATAACTTGGTTTTCGAGATTATATTATTGAGTTCAAATCCAGACTCTACCCTTCCAGGCTGTAGCTATGGACTTGACAGCTTCTGTGTGCCCCTCAACCCTCCCTTTGCCATACGGGTTTTACAGGGTCATCATGTTTGTAATGCATATTGCCTCCCATAAGGGGCACGATAGTGATGAATGAAAGAGGGAGGGGGGGTCTGTGGGGTCCCTGGGGCCCGGGGACTGTGCTCATTATGTCCGGTACTGTGGTGGTGGGGGTCGGGGTGGGGTGGGGAGCTTCTTCCTTTGAGCGTGTCGGGGGCTCCCCCTGCTGTATGATTTGGGCACAACAGTCGCTAAGAAGTGCGGTCTTTTAGTTCTATGTGTCTGAGTGTGTGCACACGTGCTCATGTTTGAGACTGTATGTGATTAGGTGTGTGTGTGTATAGACATGCGACTATATATACATATATGTAACTATTCGTGCAAACGGACTATCTGTGTGAGATTATATGTACACACACTCATAAGCATACATATATGGGTATATACACACACGGAAACTAAGACACACATGTAAGGTTCACTCTTCCAATCCTCACAGGTGCATTTTTATGCCTACCTCTTCTTCTTAACCAAGAAGCAGTGTGAGGCTCAGAGGGGCCAGGCCACTTACCTAAGGTCACACAGCTGAAGGGTGACAAAGCCCAATTTGTAATGGAATGTCGGGCTTAACCCTGTATTTTCCCTTCTCTTGGGAGTGTCCTCCTACTCTGAGGTCTGAAGGAATGAAGGCTATGGTCACAGCCAGCAGAGTTCTCTGATACGTGCATCAGAGGGACCCAAGGCTCTTGGTTGGTGCCTATGTTTTTCTTTGTTATCTAAAATAACAGGAAAATATTAATTTCTTTAAAATAAGAAAAATAGTGGCAAACATACATGGTGCCAGTGTGTGTCAGGGAGGTAGTTTTAGGGACGTTAGCAGTTTATCTTCCCTCTACATAGGCTGGGTGTAAAAAAAATTTCAAGTGTAGAAATGTAAAAGGGAAATTCTTCCATTTCTGCTCCAGCCAGCAATTTGGTGTGATTTCCACATTGCTCCCCCCTCCGCCCCCAGTTTACTTTTTTAGTAAAGATTTATTTTATTTATCCATGCATACAAGAACTGGGGTCTAGGCAGGAGGTGAAGGATGTGGGCGGTGGGTGTTGAGAGGACTCACCAGAGACTGTGGGGGAACTGAACAGGCAGATCTACTGAAATATACTATTGAGGGGAGCAGTGGGTGAGACAGGAGAGGTCTGCTGTGTCATGTGGGTCAGCTCCCTAATGGGGATCAAACTTTTGCTTGCAGTGGCTGGGTTTTGCTTGATAGCACTGAGGCTTTAACCCCTGTGCTACCACAGAGGCCCCCCTCTCCAGTTTTAAAAATGTAGTTGAACTTTTTTTATCAAGTCAAATTTTTTTTATATAATATAATAGTTTATTTTTACATCATTTTGTACATTTTTTTCATCTCAATTGTAATCCCCATGGGTTTCCCATCACCGAGTCACCCGTGTGCCATCACCATAGTCCTGTGCACTTCCCCCTCTCCCGTTTTTGATCCCATTCCCCACTCCACCCCCACAAAATGTCTCTGGTATATGGCTGTTCATTATTCTTATTATTTCCTCTCCTGGTCCATTATACTCCTGCTATGAGCGAAACCATCAGATGAACATTTTTAAATACATGCTCAAACATGTATACACACATAACCATAATTTTTGAGAACTCCAAATAAGTTGGGAAATACATTACAAAAAGTTATTATTGTATAATGGACTGCCAGGCAGTTTAGTAACTTAAAATTTTAGGTAACACACATTGACAGTTTGGTCAGTGCTTAGCTGGGTCAGCTCATGAAGCTGGAAGATCCTTTTCCAGGAATCTCACTCTCAGAACTGGCCATTTGCTGCTGGCTGCTAGTGGAGGCTGTCTGTGCCGCTCATGAAAGACCTTCAACGGAGTTGCGTAAACTTTCTTTTTAACATGGAAGCTGGGTCCTAAAGTTTATACTCAAAGGAGCCTGGAAAGACACCACAAAGCATCTTATGACCCACAAAATGTATGCTAACCACCACCTACTATGACTACCCAATTCACAGAAGGAAGACTTAAAGGAGAAGCCTTGAAAAGTAGTGCGTCGAACACACCATATGTGCCACTCTCCTTCCCAACTAGTGGGCTGAAAATGGCACACACGATCTGCTACCTGGCCCGCAGAGAGGTGCCGATTCCTTCTTAGTGTCCTCTAGGTTGGGCTATATATAGTATCCAGTTATTTACTTAAACGCAATGCTAATCCAGGTGTTGTGAAGGTGTTTTAGATACAGTTAACATCTACAGTCAGTTGTGTAGAATCAAATTACCCCTTTGCTTCAGTGTAAATAGGCCTCATGTAATTAGTTGAAAGGTTTTAAAAACTGAGGCTTTCTAGAGAATAAATTCTGCTTTAAGACTGCAGTATCAACTCCTGCCCATGTTTGCAGCTGGTGGCCTGCAGTCTTAAAGATTTTGGACTTGCCAACACCCACAACCTCATGATCAGTTTCTTAAAATAAGTCTCTTATCTAGGTAGATAGATAGACAAATTCATAGATGGGTGGCTGGGTAGGTAGATGTGAGTTCTCTTTAATAAATGCATAGCTCTGGCTACTGTAGTTTTCCCCTTTATTTTACAGATGAAGATACTTTTCCCCCCACCTTCATCATTCACTGTACAGAGTATTCCATGATGAGTGACATTAGCTTCTCCATGATGGGAACAGAACAGAGGCAGCATAGTTTAGAAACAGAAACATATAACTGCCTCCATAGTGGTGTAGGGGTTAAGTCCCAGCGCTATCACCACTGTGGCAAGGGTTCTACCCGCCCCCCCTCACCAGGGAGCTGACCCTCATGGCGCAGCAGACCTCTCCTGTCTCGCCCACTGCTCTCCACAGCAGTGTATTTCAGTCAATCTGCCTGTTCTGCTCCCCTCTCTGTCTCTAGTGAATCCTCTCACTCCCCCTCGCACTTCTGCCCTAGACCCCAGTTCTTCTATGCTTAAATAAATCCTGAAAAAATAGAAATCAATGGCCCTCCCTGGTGGCACAGCGGGTTAAAGCACTGCACTAAGAAGCTTAAGCCACTTCCGCATGAGTTCGATTCCCGCCTGCCCCGGAGGTGACCACATGGCGTGGCAGACCTCTCTTGGCCCGCCTGCTGCTCCTCTCAGCAGTGTACTTGGCTGATCTGCCTATTCTGCTCCAGCTCTGGCTCTGGTGAATCCTCTCACCCTCCGCATCTCTGGCCTGTACCCCAGTTCTGTATAAATAAATAAATAAATCTTTAAAAAATAGAAATCAAAACACAGAAAACAGCAGTTTAAGCCTGTTTATATTGTTTTCACAGCTGGAAATTTTAAAGTACTTGAGTATAAGACCATCAAAAACTCAGGCATAGACAGGTTAAGCTTCCTGAGATATATCACAAAGCCTGATTCAGCCCACCTCTCAAAGTCAACAAGCATGTGAATTCTCTGGTTAGAAAGTACATTTTGGTTCTGTTGGTGTATTAATGAATTACTGTGCATAACAAAGCCCCAAACATAGTGGTTTTGTTAGTGGGTGAAATGAAAGGCACTCTAAGAACCCCCAAACTTGCACTCTCTAAATAGGTCCTGCCACTGACTACATAAAGACAAAACATACTCTTAGTGCATAAAACCTTAAATAGACAAGAACTTTAATACAATTAGTGGCAATAGAGAGAAGAGAAAGAATATTGTCAAAAACAGTGTCCCCATGAAACATCCAAAGTTACCCATCCCCTCGTGGTAAATGCCCAGCCAAACAGGATTGGCCCAAAGCAGGGCTGCTGAGTCCCAAAATCTTGCCACAAGTGTAAGTCACCTTACACTTGTGCTGGGAGCCATAGGAAAGGGGCAGGAGGGGCTTGGCAAGTCTGAGAGGAAAGGAGCAAAGTCAAAATACAGGTCAACATAAATGCTGCCATCGTCAGCCTTCCGTGGGTCTCTCACCCACATCTCTGTCTCCTCCAACTGTCTCTTCCATCTCCTCTAAGTCCCTAGTACAAGTCCAAGGCCGAGAAGCTCAGTGGGCCTGGATCATCCAAATGATTCCTTCACGTGACTGGTAATTGCTTCAAGCTGTCACCTGGGAAATCAGCTAGGGCTGTAGTGCAGGTCTGAATAGCAGTAAGTCCTTTCCATCTGACATCTGACATGTTCCTTACAGCATGGTGACTCATTTTGGGGTTTCGGGGAGGTGGTTTCAAAAGCCAATGTAACCCTAAGTTGCCAGCCCTCTTCCAGGCCCACAGCTGACATGCTCTGCCTCCTAAACACACTATATTAGCACAGATTTGGGAAGAAGGGAAGTAATACTTTCTCTTATTTGGGGATAAAGTCACAAAATTTGCAACTTCCAAAACTTAGGGGTTAAGTTAACGTTCTGCATTTCCAAGACAGTGTTGGTGATGCTGACGAAGGAAAAGAATGAAAAACTTGGAAAGGAGGTACCATAAGACCAGAATCTGACTCACACAGACAAGTGGCAGTAGAAGGAATGAACATAGCCATTAACCCAGTTAGTGGCCGGAGGACTGTGGCCAAGTAATATCAGAGTGAGGCTGGTGCAGGGATGAGATAATTCACTAGAGACAGAGTGGAGAACAGTAAAGACGGATTTATTGAAATACCCTGCTAACAGAAGCAGCAGGCGGGATGGGATAAGACTATGAAGGAAGGTTTGTTTTGCAGGCTTTTCATGACTCAGGGAGTCACTCTGGGCCAGTGTTTTACTGGGATGTCTGGTCTTGGGCATTGACCTTTGACAAAGACGTTGTCCTGGTGGAACGTGGTTAGTCTTGTGGTCTGTTTCCCATAGCAAACTTATCAATTCCCTTGAGCTATTCAAGTCTCATAAACCTGCCTGCAGGGCAAGGGGTAGGGGCCTAGTTTTCAACCCTAGTGAATGACATTCCGCGGTGGACTACATTTCAGTAGCCAGTTCTTACAGCTCATGGCTGTGAGAGTCTTTTTCTTCCCTCAGTATTTTATGAGCACCCACACTGTGCTAGACGTCCCTTCAGTCTGTGCCATTACCCTCAGTTACTTTGCTCTGTGGCTGGAGACTTAGAGTACCTCTCTGAACCCGTCTCCTCAGTCTTTCTTCCTCTCTCCCCAGATCTAACAAGCCAGACCTGCTGCGCTGGGCCTGCCCCTGGCTTTTCTCCAGAAGGGCCTTCAACAGGTGGATTTACTCTGACAGAGGAGGAAGTATGTAGGGAGTGTACCCCAGATCAGCTTGTATCAGGAGCTGGATTAGGTAGGACTGGCAGGAATGGAGGGTGGTGGTGACGGAACTTGCCATTTCCCCTACAGTCTGTCAACCGCAGGAGGAACATCTCTCCAGATCCTCTCAGTTGGCAGCTCCTTCCTTCAAAATCAACCTCATCTTGGAGCTTGGCTTTTGAAGATCTCACAGGGGCTTAGGTCACTTCACAGCGAAGTTCAGAACAGAGTCTGGACAAAATACTCCCTGCTGAGGCAGCATCCCATCAAAATGGGAAGTTCCCAAACCTGTGCAAATGGGTCCTTAGAAGCTTGACCTTTGGGAAAAATGAAGTGACCTGCTGTGGCAGTGGACAGTAAAGAATGATAGAAATTCAGAGTGATGTCAAGAAGTTAGGAATTTATTAGGGGAGGAGGGTCTCGAGTGAGATACCCATGAGATAGTATTTTAGGTTACCTTATATATTCTTTCTAGGTGGGCCTCTAGCTTCCTGCTGTGTCAAGCACTGCTGAAGTCTGTTGTTTCATTTCCAGCTGTTGTTTTTTTTCTCTTTGGTCAGCAGATGTCTTCTTCTGCTACAGAATTTGGTCAGGGGTCTCTGGCCAGTGAAAACCTACTGGGCACTTATCTGTCTCATTACCGTTAGCCACCTGGGAAGAATGCGCAGAGAGGCCTGTCACCGCCCATAGTCAGAATGAGACTGCCAGACAGAACGAGATTGTGCTCAGGGCCTCCCAGTGCAGACTCCCCTGCTTGGATCGGACTCTCTTATGACCCCTTGAAGTCTTACTTCTTTGCATCTGTGTCCTGGCAGGGTCTTTGTTTCCAGAATCTGGTAATCTGGGTGATTCCAGCCAGGCTGGCTTCTTGGCTCCCCTGGGCTGCTTGGAAATGGGGCTTGCAACCCTATCAAACTGCACACCCCACAGGCCAGAGGCTTCCGACTCTGAGCTTCCTACTCTGCCAGGAAATGCTGTGTACATGCTCCTGGCCCACACAGGAGAGGAGCTTAGAGATGTTATGGGACAAGGCTTGGCTTGTTCCTACTCATCTGGCACCTGATCAAGTTCTTATTTTTTGCCTGTTGCACCCTGCCCTTGGCGTGGCTGTAAACTCTGGGGCCCCAAGTCACCTTGTGCCCCCCAGCGCTGTGACTCCTGGTTCAGTGCCCACACTAAGTGGCTGAGCTGCTTCCTCTCTGAGGCCAGTTGGCTCTACCTTGAAGTCTGGGGAGGCTGCCAGGTGGGGGAGGAAGCAGCCTGGCTGGTCTGTGGGGATTGGCTGACCAAGGCAAGTCCGCCTCCCCATTCAGAGGTTGGGCAAGAGACAAAGGCAGCCCAGGAGGAGGGAAGAGGGGCTGTGTGAGACTGAAAGTGCTGCTGCTACAGCAGAAGGAGCCAGGTTAGAGCTGGTGGGGCTGGCACTGATGTCCACTGTCGGGAGGGACACTACCAAGGCAGGGTGGCCCCAGGGGTGGCCGCTTCCTTGTAACTGTGCCTGGCGACCTTCCACTGATTCAGCTTGGCAGTTTCACTGTTCTTGTTCTCTCTCCTTGGAGCCCTAGGTCCTCTCTGGTTCTCCAGCTCCCATCCCTGTTTGCCCTCTCCCTACCCCCTTGTCCCTGTTCCTCAGCCCGTTGGCCCTCGTCCTCATTACTTTGGGACCTACCCCATCTCTGCCTCTGAGCTCACCGTTGCAAGGCCTGTCCAGCCCTCAGGTGCTCACCCTCTGCCCCGTACGCCCCACAGGATGCCGCAGCTGAGCCTGTGCTGGCTGGGGTTCAGGTGGCTGTCGGCCTCCCCATGGCAGCTCCTGCTGCTGTTGGGGGGCTCCTGGCTCCTAGCCCGAGTGCTGGCCCGGATCTATGCCTTCTATGACAACTGCTGCCGCCTGCGGTGTTTCCCACAGCCCCCCAGGAGGAACTGGTTCTTCGGTCACCTGGGCCTGGTGAGTGTGGTGGCAGGACAGGTCAGGGTGTCAGGGTGGGTGGACTTCCTGAGGGACTGGGGATGGGCACAGGAAGCGGGAGGGGAGAGTTTGGCTGGGTCTAGGACAGCAGGGAATTGAGGGAGGTCGAAGGGTGCCCTTTCCTGACTCCTACCAGGTACACTGCTCTGGCTGTCTCTGTCTACTTTGTACTCCAACTCCTTTCGTGTTCTTACCTTCCCTCACCCTCAGCCTGCCTGTCTTCCCATATCTGTATACCTTCAAGGAGCTCTCAGGGTGGGCTGCCCAGAGTGGGGTCCCCTGGTGTACTCACTGTCTCCACCCCTGAACTTGAGGCCTCCTCGGGGTACTGTAATCCAGGGTTCACTTCCCACCTGACCCTTCTCTGTTGGTCCAGGGCTAGTGACTGCTCCTGTCTGGATCTCCATTTCCATCAGTTCTCTGTGACTTTCCCCCATGGAGCCCGCCTGGGCCAGAGGGGAGGCGTGGGCAGTTGCTCACTCTCCTCTCCTTCCTCAGGAGCTGTTCTTTTTTTATCTTGTCTCCCACCCCTAAGATAACCAATGGACACCATTGCTCTACTTGGATAAAAGTTGAACACACGTCCTTTCAGGAACACTCACTGGGCTCTGACCTCATGGCCAGGCTTCTGAGGTGCGGGACTCGGGCTTGCCATCCTTGCCTCATCCCCAGAGGTCCTCTGTCAGATTACTGCTGCCACAGTCACATCTCGGAACTTTTCATCATCTGTACCTGCCCTAACAGTCATTGATCCAAGTGTTGCATTGTTCCACCCCACCCCCAATCCTTTTGGCTTCTTTTCTCACACCTCTTACTTTAGATCCTAGGAAAACCAGTCCCAACATCTGAGCCAACATCTATCTTCCTTTCCATCCTGCTTCCTTGGGAGGATTGCACTTAGCTCCCCACTGTCCGAAATGGGCTAAAGCCTGCCAACTGGGCTTTTCCTCATGGCCCTTTTGGAAAACCTGGTCAGTTCCTTCATGTCCTCCCACCTCAGGTTATGCCTAAGGCCTTGCTTGTGCTTAGATAGTGAATTGTCAAATTCTTTATCATTCATCTTTCCCACCAGATGGTAGCTTTGTGTGTGTGTGTGTGTGGGGGGGGGGCAGACAAAATATCTACAAGGCCTAGTCCAAGAGCTGACACATAGAAGGAACTTCATAAGTATTCAATGATGTAGATACCAGGCCTGGTGAACGTGCCATTACCACCCTCCCATGATCATCCAAGGACAAAGGAATGATAGTCAGTTCTTTCCCACCCCTCCCTCATTCCAGTTACACAGAACGGCTTGTCCTGAGTTAATTGTGAAAATTTTATTCAAGTTCTCAGTTTGGAATGTTTCCGTGACCTGTGGAGACAGTGGAAATATTACAAAGTTACTGCAGGTCTGTCTTCCTCCCAAGGGAGTTGGTCCTATTCAGTCTTTTGCTTTTCCATTTTTCTGTTGCTGTGTAACTTTGACTGAGTCATTCTCCCTTCCTGGATCAGTCTCATCAAGTGTTTAAATCCTTGCCTCAGTGTCCTTGGGGAGCAGGTATCAATTTTCAAAGGTGAAAATGACCTATGCCCACTTGCCTGAAGTACTTGGGGGTACTTACCAGCTTGGGGTGAACATCCCAAGGGAGAGGACGCCTCAACAGGAGGGGATGCATCCTCCTTCCCCTTCTGGAGGCACAGTTTCAGACATTTTATTTGTAAATAGCACAATCAATGGGCATGTCCATAGGTTGGGAAGCTCTGTGAGAGATAGATAGCTGATAGATAGATAGAGGTAGATACACGACAGAGAGGAAGACAGGATACATTATGCCTGGAGACTGGCTGCCTGAAGGGGCTCTTACAGACCATCTACCAAGAGGAACTGGAAGCTGTGTGGACCCGTCAGCACATGAGAGGATGTGGGACCACGCCTCAGGGCTACCCTGTTGCTTGCATACCCTCCCTGGTGGGAACTTCTCTCTATGGCCACCCTGAGCTGAGAAAAGTCTTCCTGAGTCAAGGCCAGCCTCCCCCTATACAGACAGCATCTTTTCTCCCTGTGTCCTGGGCTACACCACAGTGACATGGAGAGACTGCCAATACCTTCCCAGCTAGAGAGGGAAGGAGCTGGAAGTAGCAGATTCTGTCCATCTACAAAGAATCTGGATGCAAGGATGGCCTGGCCTGGTTCTTTCTCATGAGCGACAGCCCTGCCCTACTTATAGGCCTAATGCATATTTCTATATCTATATCTATATCTATATCTATATCTACATCTATCTATCTATATGAATGTATGTGTATGTGGGCATGGGTATGTATGTCTGTCTTTATATCTGCTTATCTGTTTATCTATCTCTATCTAAACAGAGAGATGAAGAGTGAGGGAACAGGGAGAGACACATAGGTAGATAGACACAAAAAAGGACAAATGAACCAATTGAGAGAAGAGAAGCTGATTTTGTGAGCCGCAGAGAGATTTAGACCAATAATCCAGGCAGAATGGGGATAAGGGGATAAGGGAATAAGTAGGGTGTGGTGGGTAGGGGGTACAGTGGGCCGCCCCCATGTCAGGCCTGACTTCAGTCCTGCCCATCTGCAGGCACAAAGCAATGAGGAGGGTTTGCGGCTGGTGGAGGATTTGGGTCAGTCCTTCCGTGATGTACACCTTTGGTGGATGGGGCCCTTCTACCCCATCCTGCGACTCGTCCATCCTAAGTTCGTTGCCCCCTTGCTGCTGGCCCCAGGTACCTCTCCCAGAAATTCCTGCCCTCGGCCTCTCCCCTGCCCTTCTCCTGACCCCTTCCATCCCTGGACAGACCAGGCTGAGTGGGGAATGGGCAGCATGGACAGACCATGACTCTGCCATGAACCTGCTAGATGGCTCTGAACAGCTTGCTGTCTCTCTCTGGTGACCCAGGCTCTTTCAGTTTTGGGTGGTGGAAACTTAACACTGTGACAACTACGTGAAGAAAGGAATCCACTGGCTAAAAAATTCAGGGAAGGCTGTCTTCAGGCACAGCTGGATTCAGGTCTTTAAACAATGCCATTAGGAAGCTGTCTTCATTTCCTAGTTTTGTGTTCCTGTGTGATGGCTTTACATTCATGTTGGTAAAGAGGAAGCACAGAGACACAACCCCCAAGGAAAAGTGAGCTTGTTTCTCACAGTCTCAGGAAAAGTTGCAGGATTGTTTGAATTGATCTGAGCTGGGGTGCAGAACCAATTCTTCATCTTTCTATTTATCCATCTACCATCTATCCTTCCATTTCCCTCTCTCTCGCTCTACCTCCCTATCAATCAAAAGACACAGATGGAGTGAGTGAGAAGACATGAGGAAGCCATAGGTAGACACTACTATTTGATTGCTGAGCCTTCAGGTCATATGGTCAGCTCTGGAGCAGAGGATAGGGTGAGTGGCCACCCTCTGTTTGGATTGAGAGTAGAGGAGGTGAGGGCTACTGGTTCAAGAGAAGGGGCTAAGTTTTAGACTAGCAGATACCACAGGTGTCCATCCACCAGCGTGCTTGTGAGGTGGGCATTTCCTGGGTCAGGAAACTGAGGGAGATGTAGTGACTTGATGAGCCATCCCTTGTAGGTCTGATTGTTCTTGGAGGGCTCCTACACTGGAAGTTTGTGGTGGGGAGATGGCTAAGTATTATCTTGGAAGATCCAACTGGGCCCCAGGTTGGTCATCTGTGTCACTTGATTGGCCCAAAGGGCTGGTCTAGTGGCTGGAGGTAGTAGTGGCACCTCTTCCTGATGAGTGGAACTTAGCATCTGAGGAGGGGAGCATCCTGTGACCTCTCTAAGGATAGAGGAGTTCCTGAGACTAAGCACTTCATGTCCAGGACAGGGTGGAGGAAGACATGGAGAAAATTTGGGCTGTACCAGGTCTACCTCAGTGACATTAATGGAATCGTATTTAAGTCCTGCTCATGACCTGTGAGACATACTGAGCTGGTGTCAGATTTTCTTGGGCTCGTGTCAGAAAATGTTGTGTCACATCTGGTTATGTCATGCCTGTTGGAACCATGTCAGGATGCTCCAGGAGATGTTAATCTGTTGGATAGGCATGGCATCCTAAATCCCTGAAAGACATTTGATAGATGCTGGGCTGTGTTTGCATGTCTAGAACATGTTGGTACATGTAGGAGCTTCTCTTGTCCCATCAGGGCCATCGTAGACCAAAATCATCAGTACTCTGAGCCCCAAACCTGTGGCTAGGTAGAACCTGGACCAGCAGAGCAGGCTACCAAACACACAGTGGATGATTCTAGATAAGATGAGAAGAACAACTCAACAGATTCATCCCACGAGTAATAACAAACTAATTCTTTCAAATACATGACATAAGTTGATATGTTATGCTGACCATATGACCTGAAGGCTCAGCAATCAAATAGTAGCGTCTACCTATGGCTTCCTCATGTCTTCTCACTCACTTGATCTGTGTCTTTTGATTGATAGGGAGGTAGAGCGAGAGAGAGGGAGATGGAAGGATTGATGGTGGATGGATAAATAGAAAGATGAAGAATTGGTTCTGCACCCCAGCTCAGATCAATTCAAACAATCCTGCAACTTTTCCTGAGACTGTGAGAAACAAGCTCACTTTTCCTTGGGAGTTGTGTCTCTGTGCTTCCTCTTTACCAACATGAATGTAAAGCCATCACACAGCATGCTTTCTTTGCCTGTTGGGGTATGGCAAAGCACATAGGAATGTGTGGGTTCTACTTTTTCTCCACTCCATGCTGCAGCCTGGTCTGGCTCACATGTCCCCTACTCCTCCCTGCTTCCTTTGCCCTTCGCCCCATTCCAGCCATGCTGGGCTTAGAAAGGCATTGCACACCACTGGCTGGAAGCCTCCTACCCTCTCCCTAACAACCCTCCCCCATCTCTCTCTCTCAATCCTAATGGTTTGTCTCTCATGTCAGCCAACATCATACCCAAGAATATGTTTTTCTACAACCTCCTGAAGCCCTGGCTGGGTAAGTAACCATAAGTGAATGGGGATAGAGAAGATATTGCAGAGGGAGGACAGGGGAGGGCACTGCCCTTGCCCACTACCTGTTTATGCCTTTACTAGGGGATGGGCTCCTGCTAAGTGCAGGTGACAAGTGGAGTCACCACCGCCGCCTGCTGACACCTGCCTTCCACTTTGAAATCTTGAAGGCCTACATGAAGATTTTCAACAAAAGCGCAGACATCATGCATGTAAGTTCTAAGAAACCAGAGTCCTGATAGTCCCTTGGAAAAGGGGCAGTCTTCTTAGACATGTGTGGTCTGGAATTCAGGCTCTGCTGGATGGCTTTGAGGCCACTGATTTTCTTCTGCAAAGCCTCAGTTTCCTTGTTTGTAAAGCAGGGATAGTAATCTCACTTTAAATGGTAGTTCAGATGATGTAATTGTAGTTTCTGGCACATGATAGCCTTGCTGAAGCCCTTAAAACAAAGGCAGTATGATGACTGCACAGCTCTTTGGGCATAACATATCAACTTAAGTCATGTATTTGAAAGAATTAGTTTGTTATTACTCGTGGGATGAGTCTGTTGAGTTGTTCTTCTCGTCTTATCTAGAGTCATCCACTGTGCGTTTGGTAGCCTACTCTGCTGGTCCAGGTTCTAGCTAGCCACAGGTTTGGGGCTCAGAGTACTGATGATTTTGGTCTACGATGGCCCTGATGGGCCAAGAGAAGTCCTGCATTTGTCATGCATCCTCTAGCAATAGTCTAATTTGAATTTCACTGTGGAAACAGGCTTCCAAGAGAGTGAGCAAAGACATGTAGTAGCCTTTGAAACCTGGTTTCAAAAGCAATATACCATGTTTCTACCATTTGTTGACTTAAAGCAAATCTCACTTGCAACTCACAGTCAAGAGGTGGAAAAAGAATTTCTGTTAAGGGGAAGGATGTCTTAAAGGAACTCTACTCCAGCTTTCTGGACTCTACCCCCTACTCCAGTGATTGAAAACTACAACTCCCAGCAGAACCAGGGAAAGAACTGTGAGGACCCAAGATTGGAGCTAAGCCGGCATTCTGGGACTTTGTGGGGGTAAATAAGGAGCCATTTTTCCAATGGCCTGCTCTCTCGCTTGGGCAACAGCTCTTGGGACAGCGTGACTGGGGGCTAGCAGTTAGTTTGTTACCAGAGCTCCAAGTTAGCTGAGCTCCAAGTTAGCTCCAAGTTAGCTGATATTCTAGTTAACTTGTATCTCCCACTCTTTCTCTGGGTTGCTCTTTTTCCTTTCCCCATTTGTAAATAAACCCATTATTAACCCATTTTTGTGTGCCTGCAGTACAACTAAACTTTAGGGCTGCAGGTGAGGACCCCCAGACAGGCAGCCCAGTTCACACTGGGGTGCCCTGTAATACTTCCACTTAATGGAAGAGCTGCAAAGTCTCATTGCAAAAGATGAGAATATAGGGAGAGACTAAGAAATGGGGACATTTTTGTAGATGCCTACTGCTATGATAATGACAAAGAAGGGGATGATAGTTATGTAACACTTACAGTAAGCACATATGTACACGTTACCTAATTTAATTTTCACAACCTTATTATATAAGCTATATATATGTTATATGATAGAGATTATATTTATATATATGAATTTGTGTGTGTTTAATAATACTACATTAAAGAAGATGAAATGGAATCCAGAGGGGTTAGGAAGCTCATTCTAGATCATATGAGCTCTGAGTTACAGCAGGATTTCTGACTGGGTTGTCTAACTCCAAAGCAGGTCATCTTATGGAAGATTTGAAGGGTGGCGCTGAGAAGAGAGCAATGAGTTGACCAAGGGACAAGAAAATAAGAATTAGAATTGGACTTTGAACCTTCATTTCCTTATTCTCAGAAGGTGTGGGGAGGATTTTAGGTTTTAATAGTAACCCATCTTACCTGGGGATGGGAGCTTGGACAAGAGGAAGAGAAGGCTGGGTCTGGGGCTGTCCCATCCTTTTTATTAGAGTTGGAGAAGGTTTTATGGAATGAAGGCCCCTGATCCATTTCTGCTTCCTTCTCTGTCCAGGCCAAATGGAAGAAACTGGCCTCAGATGGCAGTGCCCGCCTGGACATGTTTGAACACATCAGCCTCATGACCTTGGACAGTCTACAGAAATGTGTCTTCAGCTTTGACAGCAACTGTCAAGAGTGAGTCCTTGCCCAGGGCCTGGGAACATGAGCTACAGCTTCAAGGGAATAGATGGGGAAGGAAGGACCCACTAGGACAATCAGAAGGGGCTTCCTGGAGGAGTTTGGCCAGAGCTGGAGCTTGAAGACCAGGAAGGAAAAAAGAGAAAACCAGTTCTTTCAGGTTTAGAAAGGTCTGACAATGACCAGGAGGCTAGGATGAGCTAAGCCTGGGAAGCAGTGAGGAGACATCTTGCAAATAAATGGAAAATTAGAGGAGTGGGCAGGGGCTATATCTAAGAACGTTCAGAAACCAGAGAGCTACAAACTATCCTGAGGCTTCCAGGGAGCCATGAAACAGATGTGAGTGGTAGTCAAAGCCGAGTCTGGACTTATCATTAGACAAGTCTGTCACATAGACACAATGGGCAAAGAGGCCATGGAGAGGAGGAGACTTGAGCTTGGTGAAGAAAATCGGGCAGGTCTGGGAGAAACTGGAGTGACTTTACATGGGAGAGAGAGCAGATGAGCATGATGTTCAAGAACTCAGACAAGGAATGGGAAATAAAGCAGCTCCCAGAGATGGGAGACAGAGAGAGAAGCCAGCTTAGAGTCACCCTTTGCTGGATGGGATGTGGTCCTGGATTTCTGACAGGGAGGTCCTCCCAGGTTTTGTCTGGTAAGGAGCTATTTTTCTCCCCATTGACCCTGCAGGAAGCCCAGTAAATATATTGCTGCTATCTTGGAGCTCAATACCCTTGTGTTAAAGCGGTCTGAGCGAATCTTCCTGCACATGGACTTCCTCTACTACCTCACTCCTAATGGGAAGCGCTTCCGCAGGGCATGTAACCTGGTGCGCGACTTCACAGATGCTGTCATTCAGGAGCGGCGCCGCACCCTCATTCATCAGGGTATTGATGACTTCCTCAAAGTCAAAGCTAAGACCAAGACTTTGGATTTCATTGATGTGCTCCTGTTGGCTAAGGTGGGATCTGAGTTCCACAGATACATGGAATCTTGACTGCAAATAACAGATCTGAGAACTTGGTTTCTGTAGAGAGAGTACTGGGAGCCATAGAAGGTGCCCAAGGAAGGGAAGGACAGGTCAGAGACATGCTTTAGTAATGACAACGTAGAAGAGAGAGCAAACAGGAGGCAGGAAGCTAGGGAGATCTGTGGTATGACTCTGGATATGAGAAGGAAAAGTTCTTCTTGGATAATAGAACTTCAGGGACTGTTTCAGGTTAGACTCCACCTGGGAACTGGTGTGATTTGAGGTCTTGTATTTTCTACAGGGTGAAGATGGGAATGAATTGTCAGATGAAGACATACGAGCAGAGGCTGATACCTTCATGTTTGAGGGTGAGGGCACCATTGTGGGACTGTGCAGGGGTCAGGGATGTAACGGGTGGACCATGGGCCATCCCATCATGCCCCACCCTCCCCAAGGGACTTAATGTAAGGGAGATGCTGAAGCCACCTGAGACTCAAACCTGCCTGGCTGCTCCTCAGGCCATGACACCACAGCCAGTGGCCTTTCCTGGGTCCTGTACAACCTCGCGAAGCACCCAGAATACCAGGAGCGCTGCCGGCAGGAGGTGCAAGAGCTCCTGAAGGACCATGAGACTGAGGAGATTGAGTGGTGAGTGTAGGCTCAGGGAGCTCCCAGCCCCTCCCTGGCTTCCCAGCGGGGCAGGGAGAGCCTTTCCATGGGTGCTGTCATTACTGCTCAGTGGGAACAGGAACAGAGCCCAGGGCTGGGGTCTGGCACCATGCTTGGATAGCAGGGCAAAGGTCCCTTCTTTTGAAAAAGAAGACCTGCATGTCCACCTTTATTGACCCACTAACTTTCTATGTGACTTTAATAAAATCAATTCATTTTTCTGAAATTGGGTGAGGAGAATCTTCTCCCTGTTGGCCTGCATGTAATGTCTGTAGAACAGGTGTTACCCAATACTGTTTAGTAAATGAACTTTTCTCCCCTGCTTTTTTCCCCCCCATGTTGCATTTTTTTTTCTTTCAAAAATCTGCACTCTCCCTAAGTTTTGCTCCTTTCTTTATTTTCCACCTGCTAGTCTATCCCGAGGATTCACAGAGATCTTTGGGAGTAAAGTAATTCATTTCTTTGTTGAGTAAATGCATTCACATACTGCCTATGCTTTACCATCTCAGCATCCAGTCACATTAGGATTTTGTATGGGTGAGGCTGGGTAGAGAGAAAAGGAGGCAAGATTGGGTAGTGAAATAGTGTGTGCAAGTTCACCACAGGGATGTGAGTTGCAGACAGCTCTAGGACTGACTGTGCAACAGGACTGACTGTACAAAGATGAGGAGGGAAGCCTTTAGGAGTGAGCTTGGTATGTCTAGGTGAGTAGATCCTTGTGAAATTTACAATGGGGAGAACCAGAGGGACTCCTAATGAGGCTGGAACTGGTAATGGAGGCCCCTGTTGGAATGCTTTGGAAACCATGTTAAGAGTTTCCAAAGGTATCCGTTTAGTTCTTTGGAAAGCAATATGGGACAAAGTGGACAGAGATGCTGCTTCACGGGACTCTCATGTTGGACAGAAGTGACTGAGCTGTACTGCTGACTGTGTTCAGTCATTGGCTGGGAGTCGCCTGGGAAAAAAGGCCTGGTTCAGTGCTATGGCTATATCATAAGATTGTATTGCTGGGCTGTCAGCTGACTATGGTCCTTGCCCCTGAACAGCAAACCCTTCCCTCCCTCCATAACATCCTTAGTCCTCCACAGTCGTCCACTGTGTTCTTCCCCAGCCCTGTTTTCTACTCTTCCCCTCTCCTCCTGATTGTCTCAGGTCTATTGTCTGCTTTCGAGTATTAGTCTTACAGTTTGTTTTTTAGCTCATCCTTTATTTGGGTTTCTTTAGATTCCACATACAAATGAAGACATGTGGTATTTATCTTTGTCTTTCTGGTTCACTTCATTTAGAATAATCCCTTGCACTTTCATCCATGTTGCTGCAAGTGGCATGCGTTTTATCTTTTTTGATTGATGAGTAGTATCCATTGTGTATATGTACCACAACTTCTTGATCCACTCATCTGTCTTGGAGCATTTAGGATGTTTCCACATGTTGGCTATTCTAAGTACTGCTGTTATAAACATAAAAGTGCAGCTTTCCTTTTGAATTTGTGTTTCTTTTTTGTGCTCTTTGGATAAATACCAAGGTGTGAAATTGCTGAATCATATGGTAGATTCATTTTTGTCTTTTGAGGAATTTCCACACTTCTTTCTACAGGAGCTGGATCAATCTACATTCCCACCATCAGGGTAAGAAGGTTTCTTTTTTTCCACATCCTTGCCAGCATTTGCTTCTTACCAGTGTGAGGTGTTCATTTCTTACCAGTATTAGGATTTTCATTTGCATTTCCCTGATGATAAATGATGTAAATACTTTTTCATATGTCTGTTGGCTATCTCTATATATTCTTTGGAGAAGTACCTATCTAGCACTTTTGCCTATTTTTGATTGGGTTGCTTTTTTTCCCCTTTAATTGTATAAGCTCCTTGTAGATCTTTGATATTAATCCCTTATCAGATGTATAGTGTGCAAAACTTTTCTCATATTCAGGGTGTCTCTTTGTCTGGGTCACTGTCTCTTTTGCTATAGGTGAATCCACAAAGATGTTTCTGAAGTTTATGTCATGGAGTGTTTTGCCTATATTTTCTTCTTTTATAATTTCAGGTCTTACATCTATGCCTCTTACTCATTTTGACTTGATTTTCATGTATGCTCTGAGATAATGGTCTGGTTTCATTCATTTTTTTTTTCTGGTTTCATTCTTATGTGGCAATTCAAATTTGTCAGCACTGGATATTGAAGAGGTTTTCCTTGTTCCAGTGTGTATACTTTGTTCCTTTCTTGTAGCTTAGTTCTTCATAAATATGTGGGTTTATTTCAGGGCTTCAATTCTTTTCCATGGTCTAGAGTTTAGAATGAAATCTGGAAGTGTGATACCTCCATTTCCTCCTTTTCTAGTCAGGAGAGTTTTGATTAGTTGGCATTTTTCCCCCCATATAAATTTCAGCAATCTTTGTTCTACTTCTTTCAAAGATGCACTGGAATTTTTATTGGGGTTGCATTGAATCTATGAATTGCTTTGAATAAGATGGCTATTTTGACAAGGCTAATTCTTTCCATCTGTGAGTAGGGAATAGCTTTCCATTTCTCTCTATCTTCTATTTCTTTTAACAATGCTTTACAGTTTTCCTTTTATAGGTCCCTCACCTCCTTTGTTAGGTTTCGTCCCAGGGATTTAATTTATTTTTGGTATGGGATAACATTCTCATTTTCTTCTTCCTTTAGTTTATTTGTATATAGGAAGGCAAATGGTTGATTCTGTATCCTGCCGCTTTGCTGAACTGGGTGTTGTTACAATTAGATTTTTTGTGGAGTCTTTGGGGTTCTCTCTGTATATTGTCATCTGCAAATAATGATAGCTTTACTTCTTCCCCAGTTTGGTCTCCTGGTATTACTTTCCTTTCCTAATTCCTCTAGCTAGGACTTCTACTACTACGTGAAGAGAGTGGAGAGAGTGGACATTTTTGTCCTGTACCAGATCATAAGTGGAAAGTCTTTCAGTTTTTCACCACCAAGAGTGATACCGACCATGGGTTTGTCAAATATGTTGATACTTAACCCCTTTTAGATACATGATTTGCAAATGTTCCCCCCCCCCATTTTGTAGGTTCCCTTTTTGTTTTGTTGATGGTTTCCTTTATTGTGCAGTTTTGTAGTTTGCTGTTCTCATTTATTTATTTCGCCTTTGCTTTTGGTATGCTTAGAAAGCCTGAAACTTTTTTCTTTTTATTATAACAGTTTATTTTTACATCATTTTGTACATTTTTTTCCATCTCAATTGTGCCTGAAACTTAAAAAAATAATATAATAGTTTATTTTTACATCATTTTGTACATTTTTTCCCATCTCAGTTGTAATCCCCGTGGGTTTTCCATCACCAAGTCACCCATGTGCTATCACCATAGTCCAGCGCACTTCCCTCCCCCCATTGTTTTTGATCCCATTCCCCGCTCCATCCCAATAAAATGTCTCTGGTATATAGCTGTTCATTATTATTATTATTTTCTTGCCTGGTTCATTATACTCCTGCTATGAGTGAAACCATCCAGTATTTTTCTTTCTCTTTCTGGCTTATCTCACTAAGCATGATCTTTTCCTGCTCCATCCAAGTTGCTGCAAAAGACATGTGTTTATTATTTTTTTGGGTTGCTGAGTAATATTCCATTGTGTATATGTACTACATCTTTTTAATCCAGTCATCTACTTTTGGGCATTTGGGCTGCTTCCACGTCTTTCCAATTGTAAATAAAGCAGCAATAAATATGGGGGTGCAGGTATCTTTTTGAATCAGTGCTTTTGTCTTTTGGGTAGATACCTGGGAGTGGGATTGCTGGGTCGTATGGAAGCTCCATGTTAAGCAGCTACAGGAGCTGGATCAATCTACATTCCCACCAGCAGTGCAGGAGAGTTCCTTTTTCTCCACATCCTTGCCAACATTTGTTTTTGCTAGTTGTTTTAAGATGTGCCATTCTCACTGGGGTGAGGTGGTAGCTCATTGTGGTTTTAATTTGCATTTCCTTTATCACAAGTGATGCTGAACATTTTTTCATATACTTGTTGGCCATATGCATTTCCTCTTTGGAGAAGTGTCTTTTTAGCTCTTCTGCCCATTTTTTGATGGGGTTGTTTATTTTTGTTTAGTTTCATCAGTTCTCCATATATCTTTGTGATCAATCCTTTATCACTAGTTTTATGTGAGGAAAATTTTTCCCAATCAGTGGGATGTCTGTTTCTTTTTTATAATGTCTCTTTTGCTGTACAGAAGCTCTTTAACTTGTGTAGTCCCACAAGTTATCCTTGCCTTCACTATCGTTGCATTGGGTGCTCTACCTTTTTTTTTTTTTAAAGATTTATTTATTTATTCATACAGAACTGGGGTACAGGCCAGAGATGCGGAGGGTGAGAGGATTCACCAGAGACAGAGCTGGGAGCAGAACAGGCAGATCAACGAAGTACACTGCTGAGGGGAGCAGTGGGCGGGTCAGGAGAGGTCTGCCACGCCATGTGGTCTCCTCCAGGGCAGGCAGGAATCAGACTCATGGGGAAGTGGCTTTAGCTTCTTAGTGCTGTGCTTTAACCTGCTGCACCACCAGGGAGGGCCTGGGGGCTCTATCTTTAAAGATGTGGCTGAAGTGTATGTCGTGTAGTGTTTGGCCCATCTTTGCTTCCAGGTGTTTTATGTTTTCTGTTCTTATGTCTAGGTCTTTAATCCACTTCTAGTTGATTTTTGTGTATGGTGTGAGGTAGTGATCTAGTTTCATTTTTTTGCATGTAGCTTCCCAGTTTTCCCAGCACCATTTGCTGAACAAACTTTCTCTGTTCCATTGTATCTTCTTTGCTCCTTTGTCAAAAATTAGCTGCCCATAAACCTGTGGGTTTATATCTGGGTTTTCTATTTAAATCCACTGGTCTGTATGTCTGTTCTTGTTCTAGTACTATGCAGTTTTGATTATTATGGGAAAGCCTGAAACTTTTATTTGTGTAATTTGATGTCTTCAGAGGACAGATTTAAAAATTCTTAGCTATGTTGGTTTATCACATATCTCAGTGTGGTTCATATCTTTTTCAGAAATGTAGCCATCTGACTTGGTTAGATGTCCATAGTTCTGTACACTAATTTGTTGCTTTGAACTATCCTGTAATACTTCCTCTCTGGTCCCATGCCATCATTGCATTGTGTATTTCTCTTAACCTACTTGTCTGAAAGTCGCTGGATATATACCTGTGATTCAGCTTACTGGGCCATAAAACACACAAAGCCTTCCTTGACCTTATAGATGCCCTCTGGAGTGATGACCCTGCCCATACTCTCAGCAGTATACAAGGTCCTTATTAACATCACCCACCTTTAATTATTGCCTTAAATAGATGTGAACTACAATCCCATTGCAATATAATTTCCATTTCTTTTATAATCAATGACTTAGAGCATCTTTTCTTGTTTTAAATTGCCATGAACATCTGTGAATTCCTAGATAATTTCCTCTACCTATTTTTCTCTTGTGTCACCTGTCATATATCACTGATTTGAAGAAATTCCTTATATATTTGAGCTATTTTTCTAGATCTATATATTTATTGCAAATTTCTTCTGTGTCTCAGTTGAATGTTTATTTGCTGCATGGTACCTTTTACTAAACAGAAATTCTTAATTTTGTGCATACATATAAATTTTTTTTGGCTTCTCCTTTGAGCTTATGGGATTTTAAGAATTTTTTTCCTACTCCTGTGTCTCAAGGAGGTCATCCAATTATCTGGCTTTACTTTTCACATGTAAGAGGAGACATCATTCTATGTAGCATAGGTGAGGATTTAGTTCTTTTTGTTTTCACATTGTCAGTTGTCTGAACTTTCTACCAAAGAGGGTTTGTAGAGCTTCTTTTATGAGATTCTACACATCCATCTGTTTAAAGGACTCTCTTGGACCTTTCTATTCCATTTAATGTGTGTGTTTTCTTGTTCTTGCAATAGTACAACTTTTGTCACTTGAAATGTTTTAATGTGACAGACAGTGAAACAGATTCTAAAAAAAAAATATTTATTTATTTATGCATACAGAACTGGGGTACAGGCCAGAGGAGGGCGGTGAGAGGATTAACCAGAGATAGAGTAGGGAGCAGAATAGGCAAAGTGACCAAGTACACTGCTGAGGGGAGCAGCAGGTGAGACAGGAGAGGTCTGCTGTGCCATGTGGATCATCTCTAGGGCAGGGCTGGAACTCATACTGAAGTGGCTTTAGCTTCTCAGTGCTGTGCTTTAACCCACTGCACCACCAGAGAGGGCCAAAACTTAGATTTTAATCAATGATGCACTTTATTATTAACAAAATATACAATTAACATTTTAAAACTTAGAATTACTTCAAAGGAAAGGGTACTCAGCATACTAATAAAGGAAAAATTTCCCTTTATCATATAATGTATGTTAAAAAAAAATCCATTCTTGAGAAAAATAGTTTCCTAAATCAAAGTGGTCACTGGCACGGTATCAAGTGGATCTCAGGATTCCATTCTTATTCAAGAACCTACCACTAGGTGGAGATAGTGAGCAAAACAAGTTTATTATATTAAACAGGCGTTTTCTAATTTTTCCCAAATAACAAGGCTGTGGATTTTAAAAAACATACTTAAGGTAGCCTTCAAAAAGATATACTTTAGTTGATTTAATACTGTTTTATAGCATGACATAACTTTCAGGTGTTATATATATAAAACAACGCCTTAGGGGCCTCCCTGGTGGCAGAGCTGGTTGAAGCACTGCAATAAGAAGCTTAAGCTACTTCAGCATGAGTTCGATCCCTGCCTGTCCGGGAGGTAACCCACATGGCACGGCAGACCTCTCCTGACCCGCCTGCTGCTCCCCTCAGCAGTGTACTTCGTTGATCTGCCTGTTCTGCTCTCTGCTCTGTCTCTGGTGAATCCTCTCACTCTCCGCATCTCTGGCCTGTACCCCATTTCTGTATGAATAAATAAATAAATCTTAAAAAAAAAAAAACCTTACAGCATTATAATATAACATCTATATACATTCCATTTGATCACCGGCAAAAGTTTAGGTTTCATTCTTTGTCATACCTTGATCCCTTTACTTATTACCTATCACCAAATCACCTTCCTTTCTTATTGACAACCTGTTCTCTGTATCCATGAATTTGTTTTTATTTTGCTTTGTTTGCTTGTTTTATCTTCTAAATGAGTGAAATTAAATGGTATTTGATTTAATTCAATCTGACTTACTTCATTAAGCACAATACCCTAAAATTCTACTCTTGTTGCCAATGGCAATATTTCATCTTTTTTTTTTTTTTAAAAAGATTTACTTTTATTTATGCAGAGGAGAGGGGCTGGGAGGTGACAGGATTCACTAGAAGTGGAGTGGGGAGCAGAACAGAGAGACCTACTGAATTACGCTGCTTAGGGGAGCAGTGGGGGGAGACAGGAGAGGTCTGCTGTGCCACGTGGGTCACCTCCCTGGATAGGTATCAAACTTATGCCTCAGTGCTTGCTAATAGCTTGTTAGCAGAAACTTTAACCCTTACACCACCAGGGAAGCCCCATAATTTCATCCTTTTTAAATGGTTGAATAGTAAAGCCTTATTGTTTTTATATGCATCACAACTTTTTTCTTATTAACTTTTTTATTTCCTTACATTGTTTTTCATTTTTGTACAGTATTGGGCAAGCCCAATACTGTTGCCCCTATAAGTCTCTGTCTACCACATCACTTGTGAACTGTCACCATATTTCCTTATATACACATCTTTTCAAAAATAATTTTTTTATTTATATATATTTTACATTGTTGTTCATTTTTGTACAATGTTTGCATTATTTTCTTAGGTGTAGTCCCCATAGACTACTGCCAATTCACCACATACACCATCACCATAGTTCCTGGTCTTCTCTCTGCCTTTGTTTTGATCCCCCCTCTCTTCCTCCCTTGCAGAGTATCTCTGATTTATAGCTGTCTGTTTATTTTGTTTTGTTTTTTTATCATTATTTTTTCTCTGATAACTTATTTGGTTCTCATATATTCCTCCTGTAAGTGAAACCATCTGCCATTTTTCCTTTTCCTTCTGATTTATTTCGCTGAGCATAGTCCCTTCTAGCTCCATCCATGTTGCTGCAAATGACATGAGTTTATCTTTTTGATTGCTGAGTAATATTCCGTTATATATATATCTATCACATCTTCTTAATCCATTCATCTACTTTTTGGCATTTGGGTTGATTCCAAATCTTGTATATAATAAATAGTGCTGCATTAAAAATAGGAGTGCAGGTATCATTTTGAATAAAAATTTTTGTGTCCTTTTGGTAGATACTGAGGAGTGGAAATGCGGGGTCATATTGTACCTCCATTTTTAGTGGTTTGAAAAACTTCCACACAGCTCTCCAAGGTGATTGTACCAGTTTGCATTTCCCCTAGCAGTACACCATATCTTCTGTATCCGTTTACCCACCAATGGATACAGGCTATTTTTGTACTTTGGCTATTGTAAATAATGGTGGAACTAACACAGGGATGCAGATATATTTTTGAATTAGTGTTTTTGTTTTCTTCAGGTAAATATACACAAATGGAATAGCTGGATTATATTGTATTTCTATTCTTAAAGTTTTGGGGAACTTTCATACTATTCTGCATAATGACTCCATTAATTTACAGTCCTACTAACAGACTATTACTTTTAAAATCATTACTATAGTTTTTTTTTCTAATAATACAGTTTTATAGTATATCTTAGTATCTGACATATTGGTTCTTCTTTGACTTTTTATTTAAAATTGACCTAGATTGTGATGAACTTTATTTCAAATTGAACAAGACAAACAAGCTCCCCTCAAAAAAAATCAACTATATTTTTTTGGACTGCATTGGATATATTGATTAATTTAGAAAGAATTTAATTCTTTATTATAGCTCATCCTACCTAGAATCTGGAATGGAAACTATTCTTTCAAATAAACATAGGTTCCATTATAGAGATCTTTCTTGTTTTATTTTTAGCTAATTATCAATATGTAATGAAACACATAAAAAAGATTTATTTTTTTTATTTACCCATATAAGAGCTGGGGTATAGGCCAGAGGTATAGGGGTGGGCAGGTTGAGAGGATTCACCATAGAAAAAGTGGGATGCAGAACGGGGAGGAGTGAGAGTCAGAGGGTGGCAGTGAGATGGTCTCATGGGACAGGAGAAAAGCCAGGGGAGTCTGACCTGCTCCCTGGATAACTATGCGTGTTTTCCCCAGGGACGACCTGACTCAGTTGCCCTTTCTGACCATGTGCATCAAGGAGAGTCTGCGCTTGCACCCCCCGGTCACAGCCATCTTCCGCTGCTGCACCCAGGATGTTGTCCTCCCAGATGGCCGGGTCATCCCCAAAGGTGCCACATGAGGGGGCAGAGGGTGGTACCATCAGCAGGGACCTCATGTTCACCACCCCTTCCTCCCTCTTAGGAAATATCTGTGCCATCAGCATCTTCGGGATTCATCACAACCCATCTGTCTGGCCAGAACCTGAGGTGCTGTCACTCCTCACCCCTTAGGAAATGGTGCGGGGGTTGGGGGAGGGGTGGGGAGTCTGGACAGAGATATCATGCAATGCCCTCCCATTGCATCTACTCTCAACTGAGGGCGGTATCTGGATGTCCTGCGAAATTCCACCTCTCTTTGCCCTCAGGTATATAACCCCTTCCGCTTTGACCCAGAGACACCTCAGAAAAGGTCTCCTCTGGCCTTTATTCCCTTCTCAGCAGGACCCAGGTGAGGCCAGTGATTGAGGCGGGGATGGTGTGCCGCGGTGATGGGTCTCAGTTGAGACACAAAGCCTCGCCCCCACAGGTTACCTCCTTTATCCCTGTAGTCAAGGATGGGGGTCGTGGCTTGGGTTCCCAAATGCAATGGAACTGGGGCTTCCAAGTGTAGTCAGAGACCCACTCTGGCCCGCAGGAACTGCATCGGGCAGACGTTCGCCATGACGGAGATGAAGGTGGTCCTGGCGCTCACGCTGCTTCGCTTTCGCGTGCTGCCGGATGGGAAGGAGCCGCGCAGGAGACCGCTGCTGACCCTGCGCGCTGAGCGAGGGCTCTGGCTGTGGTTGGAGCCGCTGACACAGTGACGCCCGGCTGTCTTGTCTGGGGTCCACCCTGAATTTATACGCCTTTTGTAGATCCCCAAGAATAAAACTGTGCTGTACCCCTGTCCTGGCCTCACCAAGAGTTAGTAGGCGTTGGGGGTCCAGGAAGAATCCAGAGGGTTGGAGTAGCTGGTATCGCTGAGCCGAAAGCCTCTTGATGACCATGTGATTGTGGGTTTTCCCAGAGTTCAAGCATGACATTTATCGGTGGGCATTAGGGACTGATGGGAAGTGTTTGGCCAAAGGAGGCACTTGGCTTAAGAACTGACTTAAAGGGCACGTTTGAGGCTCTAGCGGTAGGGGAGTACCCACAGTGCACTGCGCTCTGACCGTCCGGGCAGTGATTACGGCCATCTCCTAATAGATGTGATTTTTTCTCACTTCAGAATCCTTCACTATGTTTCTGTGGTTACTGTGTTACTTTGTTTACTTAGTCATACACTCATGCTTTATAGTGCGGCTGATACTATGTCTGTAGGTGTTACATTGCCCTATAATTTTTGCCAGTTTTCACTCATAAGGGTCAGCGGTCTTATTTATTTGGTTATCTTTGCCTGGATGTTGACTTTAATACTTGGATTAATATTTGTAGAATTTGAATTTGAAGAAGGCAGCTTTCTACAAGAAGAATCCTTGAGTCCTGCTGGTTGAGGATTATTTTCGACCAAGCTCAAAGCTTGTGGTGCCCAGTGTCACTAAGGCATATCAAATTCAAGCTGAATTCACACTTGCTCCTTTATCAATTTCCTGTCACCGTGAAGGGTGTAATTTTTTTTTTCCCTTAGGAAGATTTAAAAAAATAATAGTTTACTATTACATCATTTTGTGCCTTTTCCATCTCAGTTGTAACCCCTGTGGGCTTCCCACCACCAATTCATCCATGTGCCGTCACCACAGTCCAGTGCACTCCCCCTCACCCATTTGTGATCCCATTCCCCACTCCACCCTGAGGGGTGCAATTTTTTGAGGTTTCCTCTTGCGGTTATTTAACATCCAGGGCTTCAATTTTCTCCACCTTCATAAAGCCACCATAACAGTTACACGTTTTCTTGACTTGAGAAATTCTCCAGGGCAAAAATATCATTCATATTTACTTTATCCCTGGGTTTCTATTTATTTGAGTAACACTGACTGAAAAACTGCCACTGTGAAGAAGTTCAAAGAGAAATTTATTAGATTTTTCAGAGCAAACGTAAGGACATAGACCTCAAAAGATAGCTCTGAGATTTCTCTGAGGGCTGTTTTGCCCTTCAGAGGTTTTGGTTTCATTAATATATAGATTGTGTTACAGGGTAAACCAGTGTGAGCTGTGCTGCCTGTCTGTGGGGCCTTACCTGCATGTTTAAAATTTAGTTGTACTGCAGGCACACACAAAAGGGTCAATAATGGGGTTATTTACAAAAAGGGGAAAGAAAAAGGCACAACCCAGGGCAAGAAAGAAAGATGCATGGTAACTAGAATATCTTACCAGCTCTGCTGACTTGGAGCTCAAGTAACAAACTAACTGATAGCCCCAGTCACACCATGTGAGAGAGTGGGGGGTGCCCTGTGGAGAGAAAGAGAAAGAGCGTGCAATTAGTGGCCTCTCCCCACTAGAGTGGTCGAAAACTCGATCTCTATTTATCCCCCAAAGTCCCAGAATGCCTGCTTAGCTCCGCCCTTGGGTCTTCACAGTTCTCTTTGATACTGCCGGTAGTTGTAGTTTCCAGTCACTGGAGTAGGGGGCGGAGTCCAGAAAGCTGGAGTAGGGGGTGGAGTCCACAAAACTGCAGAGTTCTTTTAGGACATCCTTCCCCTTAACAATTCTGTTTTGTAGTTTGTGGGCACAGAAGGTGATACACAATTCCTCTATAAAAAAGGAAGGCATCCTTGACAAAGATAAAGGAGGAATGCTGCATTTCATATCAAAAGTGATCGCTTATTTTGAAGGAGCAGACATTATCTGTGTGTGGGAAAGCATAGGAACTAAAGTTTATAAAGATCATTTCTTTGTATCTGAGAGTGTTTCTGCAGTGTGAGGACCTCCCTGGGCAGGGAGGCACTTACCTCTGATTCCTTTCTCCAGTAATTCGGAATGTGGCAGGGGAGTGGGCGTGGTGTATGGAGCCTCCAGGCATGGCTTCTTCACAACAAAGTCTTTGTTTTCTTTTTGCTGACTCATGCCTCTGCTACTGCTGGCTCGGCAGTTTTCCCAGGGGAGCTCTTTTGACAAACAGTAGCATTGTTCTTTTGGTTCACAGCAATGTTTTTTTACTTCTTTGCTGTCTTTTTGGGTCATTTGTACATTTAAGAAACTGGAAAATTATCCATCTTTGAGAGTTGTTTGTAAAAATCTGAAAGTTTAATTCAAATAATTGCTACTAATGGAAACAGAAGTTTCAGTTGGGATTTTATTTATTATTTATTGAGGTAACTCTAGTTTAAAACACTGTATAGGTTTTGGGCATGCAGCGTCTCTTCTCAGTAATACTATATGTCACACCATGTCCACATGTCCAGTCATCATTTACCATCAACCAGTCAGTATCCTCTATCTGTTCTCCCCCACCCCCCTTCCCCTCTGGTAGCCACCATCTTGTCAGAGTTTGTTTTAATTCATTTTTTCTTTGTATTCTACAAAGGAAAAATATTATATATTTTTTATATTTCTCCTAAGTTAATTCACTTAGCATAATCCCCTCATAAAACCCCTCAAGATTCATCCATGTTGTCAAAAATGGCAAGATTTCATCTTTTTTTTTAATGATTGAGTAGTATTCTATTATTTATATATACCACATCTTCTTAATTCACTCATCTATCATCAGATATTTGGATGATTTCCATTTCTTGGCTATAGTGAATTGTTGCAATGAACATGGGAGTACATACATCTTTTCTATTTAGTGCTCTCATACTCTTCAGGTAGATTTCACTAGTGAAAACACCTGGTCCTGGACATTTGTTTTTTTGGGAGTTTTTGATTACTGTTATATTTCTTTAGTTGTGATAGGTATGTTCATATTTTCTCTTATGGTTCAAGTCTTGGGAGGTTGTGTGATCCAATGACTTCATCTACTTCCTTTAAGTTGCCCAGTTTGTTAGCATACAGCTATTCATAGCAATCCCTATGTTTCTATGGTCTGTGTCATAATGTCTCCTTTTTAATTTGTGAGTTTTTTTGGTAAAAGATTTATTTATTTATGCATACAGAGGTGGGGTATAGGTCAGAGGTGCAGGGGTGGTGAGAGGCTTCACCAGAGACAGAGTGGGGAGCAGAAAAGGCAAATCGATGAAGTACACTGCTGAGGGGAGCAGCGGGCGGGTCAGGAGAGGTCTGCCACGCCATGTGGTCACCTCCGGGGCAGACGGGGATCGACCTCATGCTGTAGTAGCTTTAGTTTCTTAGTGCTGTGCTTTAACCCGCTACGCCACCAGGGAGGGCCCATAATTTGTGAGTTTTTTTTGAGTCTTATTTTCTCAATGAGACTAGCCAAAGTTTGTCAGTTTTGTTGATTACCCCCCACCCAACCAACCCTTTATTTCATTGACCATTTGTACTTTTTTTGTTTTCTATTTCACTTATTTCTGCTCTGATTTTTATTACTTCCTTCCTTCTACTGACTTCTGACTGATTTTGCTCTTATTTTTCTAGTTCCTTTAGGTATAAGGTTAGATTGTTTAAGAATTTTCTTGTTTCCTGAGATGTGCTTGTAATGCTGTTTTTGTTAAATTCCCAAAAATTCTTATATGTAGTATTTTCACCTCCAGATACTTTTTGATTTCTCCTGTGACCCAATAATTGTCCAGTAGCTTTATCTAATCTCCATACAATTGTAGTTTTTCCAGTTTTCTTATTGTAGTTGATTTTTAACCTTATAACACTGTGGTTGTGAATGATGCTTGGTATGATCTCTAATCTTAAATTTATTGAGTTTTTTTTTGTGCCCCAACATGTGATATGTCTTTGAGAATGTTCTATGTGTACTTGAGAAGAATGTATATACTGCTGAAGTTTGGTTGCTTTGTTTATTTTTTTGAAAGAACCAGCTTTTAATTTCTTTGATCTTTTGGACTGTCTTTTGATTTCTACTTCATTAATTTTTATGACAATATTTCCTCCCTTCTACTGGCTTTTGATATTTTTGTTCTTCTTTTTCTAGTTCCTTGAGATGAGAGGTAAGGTTATTTCTTTGGGCTCTTTCTTGTTTCTTGATGTGGGCCTATATTTTGTGTGCTTTCCTTTAAGTACTACTTTTGTTTTGTTCCAAATGACAATGTTCTCATTGTCATTTGTCTCAAGGTATTTTTTCCTTGTCATCAGCTTTCAACAGCCTTAATATAATGTATCTGCTAGAATTATTTTGTTTGGAACACTTTGAGCTTGGATCATGACATCTGGTTAATATTCCAAATTAAGATTTGTTTTTTGAAAAAGATTTATTTATTTATGCACAGAACTGTAGTACAGGCCAGAGGTACAGGGGCAGTGAGAGGATTCACCAGAGACAGAGTGGGGAGCAGAAGAGGCAGATTAATAAAGTACACTGCTGAGGGGGAGCAGTGGGCAGGTCAGGAGAGGTCTGCGGCGCCATGAGGCTCACCTCCCCGGGCCAGGCATGGGACTCGTGCTAAGTGGCTTTAGCTTTGTAGTGCTGTGCTTTAACCTACTGCGCCACTTGGGAGAGCCCAAATTAAGATGGGTTTTAGTAATTATTTCTTTAAATAAAATTTCTATGACTTTCTGTTTCTTTGATCCTTCTGGAACCTCCACAATATTGATTTTGTTTTTCTTTAGATTACCCCAGTGGGCTTTATACTATTTTTATTTTTTATTCTCTATTTATTCCATGTGTGTGTTCTCTGATGTGTGTGTTCTCTGATACTGTGCATTCAAGGGCTTTAATTCTCTCTGCTGCTTTTGTTTATCTGCTGATGTGGTGCTCAATTGTATTTTTTTTTTTTAAGATATATATTTATTTGTGCATACAGAGTTGGGGTACAGGCCAGAGGCTCAGGGGCGGTGAGAGGCTTCACCAGAGACAGAGTGGGGAGCAGAACAGGCAGATCGACAAAGTACACTGCTGAGGGGAGCAGTGGGCGGGTCAGGAGAGGTCTGCCATGCCATGTGGTCACCTCCGGGGCAGGCGGGAATCGAACTCATGCGGAAGCGGCTTTAGATTCTCAGTGCTGTGCTTTAACCCGCTGCGCCACCAGGGAGGGCGTCAATTGTATTTTTAAATATAATTACAGTATCTCTTAGTTTTGTTACTTCTAACTGTAACTGTTTCATATGTTTTTTATTTTGTTTTAGTATAGATGCTTTACTCTTTTTTTTTTTTTAAGTTTTATTTATTTATGCATACAGAACTAGGGTACAAGCCAGAGGTGCAGGGGGTGAGAGGATTCAAAGTGTTACAACTATTACATTGAC